CAATGTAACAAAAATAGCTTGGGAAAACGTAAGAAATGAACTAGTAATAAGAAATACCCAAGAATATGAAAGGTCTGCCTGGCTTTACATCTAAAAAGTTTTCCGGTGCATCAGGTCAGAGAGATCACTCTGGCTGGGCTGCTTTGCCAAGGGGAATAACCCAGGACGGCCTCGCGTGGGGCTCAAGAGCAGCTTCTTGGGGTCTCCTGCTTGGAGCCAGGGTGGCAGAAAGTGCAGCCATCCGTGGGGTTTGTGAACTGGAAAGGGCTTAGAGTGAACTGATGGGAGTTTGCTTTTAATCTTAGATGAACCCTCACATGGACATTGCTAGGACTAAGCAAGGGTGTCCCGTGGTGCCTGTGCTGGAGGAGAGGACGTGTCCTTCGAGAGGTCCTAGCTGCCGATAAAGGAGCTTTGGCACGTTGCAGAGGTTTGCCTATGTGCCCGTGAGAATGCGCTCAGACACTGAGTAGCACTTGCTGCAAGTTGGGTTTGTGCTGCTCAGCTTCTGACAAGCTTTATCACATTGCTTTCCCCACATTCATTTTGTGTCATTCTGTCTTGTGTGCTGTTGGCACAGAGAAAGCTGCAGGTGAAAGAGAGGGATACGGATTGCAATGCTAACCAAATGTGGAACAGCGAGCGAGGTTGGCCGCGTTACCTCGCGGGTAGGTAGATTTCTACAGACAGGGAGGGAAAAAGACAAATAATGAAGTCGTTCAGGTTTATGTTTTGGTGAACAGCTGCTTGGAAGCCTAACTGAAACATGATTGTACTCCTGTGCATACGTGCCCGTGTGTATATATAGACACAGCTTACACATTCATTGAGCTTCCCAGGTGGCAACTTAGAGCTCTGCAAAGGGAAAAGTATGTGGTTTCACGACTGATTTTTTTTTATTTATTACTTTCTGAGAAAAAAGTAGATTGTCCAGCACACTCTGTTCAAGCAATCAGAACCTCAGCAGAAGTAGGGGTACATGTATGTGTATATGTATATATATACACATAGGTATGTATGTGTGTGCACAGGTGCCTATTTATTTTTTTTCTCCTAGCTTTGTAATAGTCAAAGAAAAAAAATAATCTTGAATTAGCACTATACTGAATCTGCCCTATCGTGGGATAACCTGACAGGAAGTAGCTGTGCCTGTGGCAGTGCTAATTTCCCTGCCATGGATGGCTGCAGCGAGCGGATATGGTGTGTGCAGGGCTTGGTCACTAGCCCCAGGCTGTCTGACACAGCTGGGTTTAGCAGCACGTGCAGGATCATGATCCCTGGGCATCTTTACAGAGATGCTCAGCAGAGGCAGCTGCACTTGACAGAGGAGCGTGTCCTCTGCTAAGAAGATAGAGGCCCCCCGCGGTGTTGCTGGCACGCGCTGGCACACGCCTGCCTGGAGCAGCCCGGCGGGCCGGGACGCCGGGGCTCCCTCGCCCGCTCCTGACCGCGCTGCGGGGAGGGTCCCGCTGGCAGGTTAGTGCTTGCTCCGCCGGGCCGCACTGCAGTCACGCTCAAGTCAGAATTCCCAGGCTCTACAGAGCTGCACAGAGCTGAGTGTTCAGCGGGGCATGGTGGCTGCAGGGCAGGTGCCTCTGCCCCAGCTGAACCTGCGTGTGCCAAGGGAGCGTGCACGGACTTTCCGGCCTGCTGCTCGGCAGGCGTTAGCGTAAGGCAGTGCATGCAGCGTTCTGAGTGCTTTCCCAAATATCTTCAGAAAAACCAACCCTGAAGCTGTGTGCAGTTGCACTTTATCCAATCCAGCATATGTATGCCTTGCAGAATTGCCCTGGATTGGATCGCGACAAATGGGTCTGCACCTGCCTTCAGCTGGCGTCCCTTGCTCTGTGTCTCGTGCATTTTAAGACATTCAGCAGGATCAGCTGAGCACTTTTTCCCCCGGGTCCGTTCATTCAGATGATGTGCTAATTAGGTCACTGAGAAAATCAAAGAAAGAGAAACAGGGGTGAGTGCTCGCAAACTGGCTCCTGCATGTAATTGCTGTATTTTAGCTTAATTTGTCTTAAGACATGTCCTGATTTCTCTGAAAATGTAATTCATGCAAAAGCTGTGTGTCAAGAAAGCAAGTCGGGGAGCACATGAATATTTTGCACCGCTGAGCATAGTGTTGGGTAGGTTTCACAGGCACGTGGCTCCCCTCTCACGTGGCACTGCCTTGCTTTATGCCTTACTGACTGCAAAACAGCCTAAAACCCTGCAGGATCCCTCTGGAAGAAAGGGCAAGGTGCCACGTGCGAGCACACGCAGGGAGCGTCTTGCTGCAGAAGGAGCGCAGCTCTCATCCCATTAGCAACCCCGTGTGCGGCAGGAGAAGGTGCTTGCTAAAGGCAGAGCTGGGTGGCTGCCAAGAGGAACCCTTTGTATTCTGCTTAGATGAAAATTCTCTGTCACAACGGAGACCTTAGAAGGGGCAGCGTGACCTGGCACGTTCATCTGCTCCGTGCTGGGGTTGGCCGGATTTTGTCTGCAAGGGCGAGTGCTGTGGGTACCTGCAGGCAGGCGTAGGTGCCTCTCCGTGCAATTGGAGAGGGAGGTGACGGATGCAGTGGGAGCACTGGGAGCTCCAGATGCTGCTCTTTGGCAGGAGCACTCGGCCTCCAAGGCAAACAAATTTGCCCAATAGTTGAGTCTCTGAGCTTGGAGAGTTCCCTTCTGGCAGGGAAGCCTTGACTTAATGCAGAGAGGCAGCAGGGGATCTCTTCCAGCTGTGCCCACAGGGGCGCACTAGGAGCGTCTCCGCCGCGGCAGCCCCTGTGCAGGGCTCTGGGTCCCCGGCAGCGCTGGGGACACTAACCACAGCCTGCAGGACTGCACTGCGCGGGCCCTTAGCACACAGTGATGCTGAATGCAGCAGTGCTAGCTTAGCTTTCCCAGTGCCTTAGAGAATTTAGATTTCTTTGCAGAAATGGGATTCTCCCTCTGAGCAAAGAGTATATTCCCCAGCCAAAATTCGTCGTTATTCTGTAGTGAATGTCGAAGGGCCTTATCATTTGCTTCAGCCAGAAATCCCCTTAAAAGAGTATAGCCATTTGCTCAGACCAGATGGGCAGAGGCTGGAGATCGAAGCTTGGGGTCCTGCTTTCTAGATGAGACCAGGCTGGTACAAAGCTTGTGGCTGGAGCTTGTCTGGCTTCTTCTTCCTGTCGGTCTGACCTTTTTTATCCTGATGGTTGCTCTCCCTTCTGCTCTCCCGAAGCTGCAGCTCCTTCCACCTGCTTTCACCACACAGCCCCTCTCCGCTGTCTCTGCAAGCGCACCTTGTCCTGGGGGAAGCCTTCCCTGCTGGAGACGTGCTCGTGGTGCCGCCTGGTGCTGCGCTGAGCTCAGGAGTGGGTCGTGGGCGCCGTGCGTGCGTCTGCTGTGCGCGGAACTGAGCTGGAGGCAAAGTGATTCCCGCCTCAACCTCCTTTCTAATCTAGCAGTAATTCTCCTGGTGCTACAAACTAAATAAAGACCAGAATTTCTATGCCACTCTATTTTAGAGCCATAAAAAAGCAATGTATATATCAGCCAAATTTTCAGAAGTGACAAGCGATGTAAATCTGAATCCTGAAAGCTCCAGGGGACGTGCAGGTATTTGCACTGGAATTCTCATGTGTTTCTATTGTCAGCTGAGACTTGGAGTGTGGTATTTATGTTGGCTTGGCCAATTTCTGGCAAAAGAGAACAAGGACAAAATTAGGTGCAAAATGGGAAGCTTTTTGAGAGAAAAAGTGTCTTCTCATAAGCAAAACTTTGCAAAAATGTGAATCACCAAAACTGCCCTGCATAACGAATGAAAAGAATTGATGAAAGTCTTTTGCTTTCAGAATATTTTAATGACTTCCAAATACAAGAGCATTAAAAGTATACCTTCTTCTGATGCTGTTCAATGCTAAAATCCAGAGCTTAGGCATGTGCAGGTGTAGTATTATTTTCATCGGGTCCTGCAGATGGAAGAAATGATAAAGATGTGTGTGTTTGTACAGACAGGCCCTAGTGACTGGAAGCAGAGGATGGGAAAGAAATACAGACATAGGTAGCTGCCAAAGGCAGGACGCGAGTGCCGGCCGTTGCGCACAGCTTTTCTGTACGCGCCGCTGTGGGAAGCGGGCAGGGCCCGGGGGTTGTGCCGTGCTGTGCCGTGCTGTGCCGTGCCGTGCCGTGCTGTGCTGCAAGGGTGCTCCTGCCGCGAGAGCAGCAGCGGGGCCCTGCTGCCGCAGGGGCGCCCAGCCCGCAGCGCTGCCGCCCGCGCCGCAGGCAATCTTTTCCCTGCTGCTGTCAGGGTTTGGCATGAGCCATTAGCATATTTACGGGACAGAGGGGTGGTGTTGGAGGGGGAATTCCAGCGCAGCTCCCGAGCTGACCCTGGCTGGGTGGCTTACCTCAGCTTTGAGGCATTTTGCTGCAGGAGGCAGCAGCCTCTTCCTTTCATAGGAATGGCTTCACCTCTCGCTGGCTGTTCGCTGAAAAACCTCTCGCTACTTGAGCTCTCCTTCCTGCCAGTTTATTTTTTCATGGCTTCCCGTGGGGTTTGCTCATGAGCCCGGTGTGTACGAGACCACTAAAGAAGAAGGGGAAAAGCCTGCAGAGATCATAATTGAGTAACCCTGTTTTAGGTTTAAAAAAAGAAAAAGGGGGGAAGGGGTTATGAGCCAACTGCATATAGTGTTTGAATAACAGAATGTCACATACCTGTTTATAGACCCAAGCCTTTTTTAACAGCACAATTACAGTAATGAAAGAATATGAGCCTCGCAGGCTGCCTGCCTCCTGGTTGGAACTGAGGGCGCTGCGGGGCGCGAGCGTGGTGGGTCGAAGCGCCGCTTCCCCGGCTGCGAGCGCGGGCAGAGCCGAGGGGAGCCTCATGTGGAGCCGCGGCCGTGCGCTCCCACACTGTCCTGGTTCCGTTTCAGCAGTCAGGATACGTCCTTCGGCACCACACCTTGGGCAGAGCAAGTGAACACCTTCGAGAGGTGCCTTGTTCTTAAATGCGAATGATGAGTGTAGCTACCATTGAGAATAACTGCAGGTACTTTGATGTGAGAAATCCCAAGGCTTCTCTCATGTTTTGGGTTTGGTTTTCTGTAACCATTGCTGTGTAACCATTTAGCAATGAAATACTTTCTGGGGGCATATGTTCTTGCTGCACATCACACATGTAAATGCATGGCTCTTGATGTGGTGTAAATCTCGCATGAAAATACTGTTCACTTGTGATGCTGATGATCTGGCGAACACGGGAGTGTCAGTTTTCTAAGAACACATGGTCTGTACTTCCTGCAAGCGTTAGCAGAAAAACTCGTCACATTTTGAACAAAATAATTATATTTTGTTTAGACAGGTCAAAGACTGAATCCTTTGTCTCTCTGCAATCAATCCAATGAACCCATTAGAAAGATTTACTTATATATCCTGACAATAAGGAATATATTCAGGTCTTTTTTTTTGTGTCTGTGTCTTACAAAGAGAAAGCAGAGCAAGGCAAGAGAGAACATTAGAAAGTTTGGAGAGCTTTAGTAACTATTACAAATAAAATGCTCTTTATCTTGGTTTTCGTGTTGGCTACAGTGTTACAGGCTTTTGATTGTTTCAGAAGCTTTTAGTGAAGACTCTTCAGCACTAATGTGCCAAGCGGTTTCTCAAGAAGGAAATGATTTATACATTTGTTTGTGTATTAGGTGAGTTTACGTTGCTAAAATACTGTTTGCTTAAGTGCTGGGGAAGAACATCTACTTTGAAAACAGGGCCAACTTCTAATTCAGTCTGAGCCATTCCTAAGTGTTGTCAACATCACTAAAGCAAAAGAAATATAACGGTTTACAGAGATCCAAATGAATTTCAACCTCTTACATTCCTGTCTTGCTCTATTTGGTCTTTTAATTTAGTCACTCTTTTTGTGTGATTGTGGTAAACACCAGAAGATTTAACAGAAGATAATAAATCATTAATGTCTTTTTAATTATTTTCCTTTGTTTCCATTGGTTATGATGAATTGTGATATATAAAATTTTGGTATGATCCTCCTTCACAGAAGCCTAGCCAGATTACAGGAATTACCTTTTTCATATTTTTGTCTTTCTTTTTCTGTGTGCCTTAAGTGCTTTCATTGTTCCATGCCAAGAGGTCCCTGCAGAGGCGCCTCTTGCTGCCTGAGGCTCCAGGTTGTCCAGGACATCAAGCCCCAGCAGGGGCAGCAGCAGAGGGATGTGCTCAGCACAGGGGCAGCAGCCTCATGGAGCTGAGGCCTGGCCAGGACTGCCTGAAGCTGCATCGCCCTCATTTAAGCTGTTGGCTCTGCTTCAGTGGCTTTCATTTTTAATTCTGTCTTCATAAGCACAGCAGTAGAAAAACGCTCTTAGAACACAAAGCAAGAGAAGAGCAGTATCCAAAGGATGGTCCAAAGAGTCAAACCTGGTTTCCAGAGCTGAGTACCCCACATCCTGTTTAGAGCCTTTTCTCCAAAGCCTGTTTCTGAGGAGTGCTGACAGTATGCAGTGCCTCCTGGTTTCAGCACTGGGTGTTTGTGCTGGGCCCTTCTGAAACGAGGTCACTTTGATTTAGCTGTATAAAAACAGAGCTTGCTATTCAACCATAGACAACCCCGTTCAACAATTTCTGTCTTAAATTCTGGCAAAGGCAAAGTCAGGACTTCATGAATGATATAAAATCAGTAATACAATATTTTCAGGAACGTTTCTCCAGATGAGGTGGATGCCCAGGGCTGCTGCGCTCCCAGCAAGCCGTGTGTGCGGCTTGGAGGAGTTGTTCACATGAGCATCTTAAAGGTCAAGTCTGCAGAGGAGGACATTTTTAGTGGTACTGAAGTGGTTCCTATGAAAGGCTGAAAAGAGTGAAAGAAATCAAAAGACAAACCAGAAATCTCTGGAGGAAACATGTGCAAGCATTGCCCTACAGAAGCACTCTGTGTGGCCTGGGATCCCATCCCTGACTCTGACCATTGCTCCAAGATTGGTAATGGATTTATTTATGTTTAAGAGTCATCCCAGTCAATCTGTGGTGAGATTGGGCACACAAGGAAGCGGATGCACCAGTGAGTTTGTGAGAAGAATTTCCTGCCCAGTGTGAGCTTCAGCCCGTGTGGGCTGATAATTTGAAATTGTTCTGGCATGTGCCCTGTTTTGATGCTACAGTTTGGGAATTAGTGGAATCTGTCTTCGCTACCTGACCACCTTCTTTCACAACATGTATCCAGTGCTTGAGCATCTCTCGATCTGTTAAATAGAGCTGAAACTGGATAATGGGACTTGCAAGTCACTGCTGGGAGGAGTTTGTGCTTGCATGTGTTCAGATGTGCAAGCAAATGGCATGCTCACATAAGCCACATTTCTTAAGGAAACCATTTAAAATACTCTCTGCTTTAATGATGGATATTTTCTTTATATCATGAATTTGTCTTTTTAAAGGCCCTGCCATAGTCTTAGCCTCAAGCACTGACTTGTGTCATGATGAATTGCCATGGCTAATATTTTTCGTACAGAGAGAAAAATTTCTATTTATTAAGACTTGGTGCATCTGAAGTCCCTCACTTCAGTTATGTGATGGACACTGTCATCTCTGATTCATTGTTTCTTGTCCTTCCCTTTGTTTGCTTTCGTGTTAAGGTACCTGACTCCTACTTGCTGACGTTGTTTATAGGCTCTGTCCTGATTTGTGACTTTAGCCAGTGGCTGGTGCCAGGTCAGGCTCCCTGTTCCCCCAGTCGCCCCCTTGCAGCCAGCTCGCTGAGGGCACCCTGAGGTGCTTCCCGGGCTGCGCAGCGCCCACAGGCAGCGGGCACAGCCCTGCCTGCCCAGCCTGCCTCGTGTCACCCCTCTGCTCCCCAGGGACTGTCCCCCACTGCCACAGTGGCTCTGCGGTGCGCAAGAGGAGGCCGGCGGGGCTGCAGCCCGAGCTGCTCCCTCCCGTGGCACTGAGGGGGCACCTTGCTCTGGGTCTGGCTGCCAGCACCTGCACGTGGCGTATGGTGGCTACACCCGGTGGCCTCTTACTCTGCCCTTGCAGCTCAGCTCCTCCCTGCCTTCAGTGTTGCCTCTTCCCTGGGTGTTCCCTTCCCCTATCTTCCTTCCTCTGCAGTTTTCCATGATGCTCTCCATCCAGGTTCCCAGCTCAGAGCCAGTGAGCTTATCTACTTTATGCTTAAATGAGCCCTTCTCTGCCATCTGTCAGCCCTGTTCCTCTTGCGGGAAGAACTGAGCTCCTGGCAGGACAATGGTGTGATTAGGTGGGATCTGCCACCGTGGCTGTATGTGCAGGTCGCGCTCAACAAGCGCTTTCAATGCTGATCCACACTAGAAGTGTAAGCACTTGTGTCCCTTTAAGTTATTTCTACTGCAGTATGGTTTTGTTAACAGCACTAGCAGAAGAACAGAGGGAAGGAGGAATACGCAGAGCTCTGAATGTTATCGCTCTGCGCGGAGCTCCTCTGCAGCTGGCAGGGATCAGCAGGAGCACCGGCTGCCTCGCGCGTGCCGAGCAGAGCTCTGCAGTGGGAAGGAGCCAGGCCCGCAGCCAGGCAGTGCCGGGGGCTCTCGCCCTGCAAGGGTTTGGCTATGTGTGTGTCTGGAGCAGAGCTGCTTCTGAGTGCCACCCCTGCATCAGTCTGCACAGTTAATCCCCAGCACATGGCGCCCAGCTCAGCGAGGGCACCTTTAGCACAGTTAGCTCATTTGGTTATGCAGCTTAGCTATATGTTGTTGAAATTTTTTAATGGGGTGGAATTGTTTGCTTTATTATGATTCTTTTAAGCATTAAATTTTTCTGATAGGTCACTGCTTTAGATCAGTGATCACTTTATAATTTGTTTAGGGATTCTTTTCAGTGCTGTTTGTACTACTGAGAATTACTGTTCTACTCTTGTTAAGATTCCTGTGAGTCTAGAAGAAAAACACCTTTAGCTAATTGTTGTTTGTGATTCTTTTTTAAGTGAAACATATTATAAGCAATTAAAATACAGAATTTCCTATTTTTTTCAGTATTTTTATGGTAGCAGCTGAATTCTTTGTTGTATTATTTCCACCTGTCAGAAAAAGATACAGCCAAATGTGCACACTTAATGCTGTAAACCTTCTCTCCCCTGCGATTTAGAATATGATGGGGAAGCTATGCCATTCAGTGACCCCAGCTGAGGTTTGAGAGAGAGAAATGAGCTGAGCTGTCATGTTATTAAAAGCTAAATTCCCAGAGCTGCCGGAAAGTCAGCGATTGCTTTGTATCCATTTTCAAGGTGTAACGGGGATAGGTGCCTGTTCATGAAGAGCAAGCAGCCAGTTCCTGACCAGAGATCCTACCTTAAATTTTATCTGTTAGTCAAGCATCCAAGAGGAGCAGGAGCTCATTTTAAACCAGCTGCTAACATGCTGCTAGAAAGGTTGACCTTTTTCCAAAATTTAGGCTTAGCTTAGATTTAAGCCTGGTTCAAGTTTAGGCCTAACACAGCTCCAGCTGATCAAACCTACTTTGTACATGTGTCCACCTCCCTCGCTCTCTCCAGAAATCCTTGAAAGGATGGGAAAGTGTGGCCAAAAGGGGGAATTATTGTATGTGAGAACATTTCTGTTCTCATAACTGGCTTTATTTTAATGGCTTCACAGATGAATATGCAATAATAGCAACAGTAGTTTAGCTACTGTGATTGGTCGTCAATGGTATCCTCTGGCAGAGAACCTTTTTATTTACTTAGACAGTTTTTGTTTGGGATGTAGATGATTCAGCCTGATAAAATTAAAATTCCCTGAATAGCTACGAACTTGTCACTGTTCTTCCTTTGCAATGGTTTGACACCTGAGTGGAGTCCTGCCTAATGCATTTCATTTTTGTTTCCTGACAGAGATGATGATAACAAAGAAAATTATCCAGACAATGCTGCAGCTTTAGAAGAAAGACAGCTGCTTTTCCAAGACATCCAGCAGCACAAGGAGCAGGCAGCTGTTGGCTGCACGCTGAAGCCTGCAATGGGCAACTTAAAGCTGAGAAAGCCTAAGCCCATTGCAAAGCTAGAAAACGGAAAAAGCCATGAGGAAAGTCAGGTAAAAAAATAAACTTACCAAGGGGAGGTGTATGGCAGAGTCTGAGGCAAAGATGCTTTTTGAAATGCAGGGTGGGACTCACTGGCCGTGCATGATCTGACTGTGACCCCATGATGATCCTCCCTCATTTCCAGGGACCTGCAGCCCTGGCACCCTCCGTAGTGACGGATGGTGCCTTTTGCAGGCAGTCTTTGCATGTGTTTTCATTCTGAGCCTGTGGGATGGCAGCTGAATCGACCTCATTTAAGAGTCAGTCTCTTTCAGAATGTTGACATCAGCTCTTACCCCAATATTCTTGCAAGTTTTTGCTGCAGTTCATCCCTGAGAGGGTGCAGTAGATGCCGATTTTTTGGTAATTATATTGGATTAGTAGGAAATACGGCACGCTTTATGGGGAAGTGAGGTGTGCATTTTATCAGCTGATAGGAGAAATGAAAGGGAACCATGCACTATGAAGAGCAAGTGTAAGCACATCAGGAGGAGTCATCAGCAAGTCATAAAGAGGAAGAGATCCAGCTCAGAGATCATCTGCTGCTGCTTCAGCTGCCTTCTGTGTCACCTGTCTGCCTCCTGCCTCGGTGTGTCACACAGGTGGCTCTTATCAACGGGTGCTAACACACACAGACTTGCTCTCTTTTGTGTTTTATTGAACCTGAAGAGATTAACTGAAAATGTTGATTCTCTTTCAGGGGAAGCTTTCTTAGCGTATAATTAAACTGCCATAAAATACCAGTGCAGTTCAAAGATGCAGTCTGTGGAAGCAAAAAGAAAACAGAATCAGGCAGATAACTTTCATATGACTCCAGGGCTTGAATTAAGGATAAAAGCGGTCCTGGGCCTCCACACTAGCCCTTGCTCCCACCTCTGGCTTACTGGAAGAGATAAGACGTGTAGGTGCTATTTTATCCTACCTTTGATTTCATAGGAGTACTTGAAAGAGCTTTGAAAGTGCTATAGAAGATGAACACAAAGCAAAACTACACTTCCTAACAGGAACTCCACTCACTCATACAGGGAATGGTACCCTGGTCCCGTGAAAGCCTTTGCAGAGAGTGTCCTTTATCTGCACAGAGCTCAGCGGTGCCTGCTGCAGGGGATGGAATTTGCCTCTTGGAAGTCTGCAGAAGATATTGTAAAGAACTGGGCACACGCATGCCCAGCCCCTGGTTGTGCCCAGCCTGCATTCCCCGCGCGGGGAGGCGCACGCTCCGGGCTTGCTGTGTCTTCAGGAGCCTCGAGGGGCTTTGTCCTTGAGAAGTGGTGTCTGTCTCCGAGGCTTGGCTTCATGCACCCATAACAAGCAGGGCTCTGCTTCCAAAAGTGCTCTGCAAAGGGTTTGTTTCTTCAGGTTCAAACAGACCTCAGTTCTCAAACAGGGGAGAGGCAGCGACCCTGGGGATCCCAACCTGCCCCGGGCTCTGGGGCTGCTACGTGTGACTCCTTTTGAGGTTACATGATGACTAACAGGACCAGATCTAACAGAAATTAGGTTGCTTGGCCACATATCGGGCGATAAAACGTTGCTAGAGTAAATCTGTCCCTTGGTATTGCACGCAGTTGTTTCTTGCAGGGCAGGCGCTCAGTAGGGGCGGCCATATCCCTTCAAAGTGGGGGATAGAGGCAGGCTGCTCCATACTCCTGCTGCTTGGACTCATCTTTCCCGTGGTTTCATGAGCAGCTTTAGCAATCCTGCGATGGCAATGTAGTGAAAATCAAATGAGCTAGGATTTATTGGCCTTCAAGAGGTGAGGAAGCATCTGCTCAGAAGGTGCTCCAGGGAGCCAGTGTGCGAGCAGATGGCTTGGAGTGGGAAGTCTGCTTCCCCTGCCTAATCCCTCCCGGTGCTCACCTTTGTTGCACAGGCATCATTTCACATTATTCATCCTCAAATCCTGTATTGGTGCTGAGATGGATTTCTAAAATGAAACTAAACGTGCTAGCGAGTAAAAGTTCAGTTTTAAAGCCCAATTACCAAGGTGAATGACTGAAAATTGAATGGTGGCTTGACGTAGATATCTAGAGATAGGAATGCTGAAAGCTGGTGTATTAAATTTGTTATTTTAAATATAAACTACTTAGGAAAATTGCATTAATTCAGAACAGTTTCCAGTAATTTGATGTTAAAATTAGAATTATAAATAGGCAGGAATTAAAAAATTAAGTGAATGTTAAGGCCACACGGACACACAGACGTGTCAGGTAGCCTGCAAGCTCCGCTTCAGCTTTTGGGCCTGCTCCGTTTGTGAGTAAACCTGCCCCTGGTTGTGGGTTAAGTCTGTACGTTTGCTCCTATTCAGTGTATGGGCTTATTTTCTTGTGTGAACTGGCGTTTACAGAAGAGGCAGGAGACATTTCTGGCCAGGACTTCAAGTAGCAGCTATTTTCTGCATCCGGGTAGCAGAGTGAGGAGTGCCAGCAGTCTAGGCCTGAGCTCTGGTGCAGTACTCCCAGAGAGCAGGAGATCCAGCTCCGGAGCGCACATCTGAGGAGAGCTGGAAGCGGCTGTGTGCTGGATAAGCCACATTAAGGATGCAAGGCACTTTCTAAAGTTCAACAGTAGATTGGGCTGCTACATGAACACAGCAAACATTAGTACCTCTGCACTCGAATGCTCTGGCAGAGATGGGCTATAACATGCTTTGATTTCAGGAGAAAAAGAGGTATAAAAAAATAGCTTGTAAAAGAAAAGCTAATTTATCCTAGCATATGTGTGCAGGGTAGTATTTTATAGCTGCTTCCAAACCTACCTGTTGTTTGTGTGCAAAGCAAATAGCACGGCAGTGATTCCGCTCTGCAGCGAGCCTGCAGGGTTCCCTCTTGGCAGCCCAGCCGCAGACACCTGGGCCCGCGCTCAGGACAAGCACAAATTCAGCAGCGGGGGCCACTCTCCTGTTGGCTGCCCTTGGCATGCCAGGAAGGGATTTCATTATTAAGAAACACAGGTACCATGAAGGGTGTTTCCTCAGGGGCATCATCCTGACACAAGTTATTAACACATGCGTGTGCACCCTGCAACCAAAAAGTCCTCAAACGTCAAGCCTGCAAGTGAACATTTATTACCTACAGGCAGCCGGGTCCTCAGCTTTGCCTTGCATTAAGAACAGAGCATCTGGCGTTGCTGCCTTCTCTCTGCTGACACCGGAGAGGGCGTATGTTGAAAAGGGAAAAAAAAGGAGAAAGAGACAAAGAGGCTTTTGGTGTTCAGTCAGTGCTAAACTACAGACCTGGGAGAGGGGAAGGCTTCTATCCTAGAAAGCTGGAGAGGAGGCAGAAGGCAAGAGAAGCAAGAGTAGCTCTAGTCTAGTCTAGTAGCTCTAGAACGCTCCCCATACACTCATCTGGCAGACTAAGGCGGAGGAGGCACCTTCCCTTATGCAAAGAATATCTTGGCAGCTTAAAAATTGACTGAGATTAAAATAAGATAATAACAGTATCGTTAAGCTGTGAGAGAGTAAGGCATGGATGTTCAGACTTCTTGTTTATTTTTACCAGAGTTTTCTACAAGATCTCTTATTCTTTTGAAAGCCATACAGCTTTTTTTTCAAAAGCTTGGAGTAAAATGCCTACCTAAGTCCTAGTTCTGACCTCAATTTGTTGGACTAAACTGGCTTTTTTATTTTCAGTGCGGTGAGGTGGCTGGTCTAACTTTTTTTTTCTTGCTGACCTTTATCCCTCTCGCAGCCATATTCTATTCCAAGAGCTTTTCATAGGAGAGGGAAGGGAAAAAGCAAAGGGCAAAAGGAAACGGAATGAAGCTTACTGATCTTAAATGAACCGAATTATTTTTTGTCAGCCAATCTTTTTATTAAAATGTTCTTATAAAATTATAAAATCTCACTGTCATAAGAATAAATAGATTTGTAAGAAACATGATTGTGTAGCTAAGCAAAATATTGAACTCTGTGTAGCACTTAGCTCAGCTGCTGACCTGTGTTATGCAACTAATAAATAGTGGACGGCTTGCGGTGGCTTTTGGTCTGCTTTGGTTTCAGAAAGTGTTTTACAAGGAAGCTGCCACTTCATTTACAACCTTTTCAAGTTAGTGCTTCCCGACTGTTCCCAGATCATTACCCAGAAATAGCTGCAGAGCATGTGGGAAGCCCCACACAGCCTTTGGTTTCCCGGAGCTGTGATTTCTGTGAGGTGTTTAGCTTGGGCTGATGGTGACCGGGGGCACTCAGCGTTTCCCTTCTCTCTGCAGGAGCTGCAGCGCGTGTTGCCTGCCCGGCGGGCGGCAGGAGCCTCCGCTGGTGCCCGTGCCCAGAAGGTGCCGTTCAGATGCCAGGAGGCAGTCGGGACGTTTACGCCAGGGTAAGCCATGGGGCATGACACTGCATTTCCCTTCTCTTTAGCTGTAGGAAAGGCTGATTCATTTGCTGCCTTTTGTATGAAATATTTAGACTTTCAGCTCATATATCTCTGGCAGCTGTATTCGTTATTTATAGACCTAGGGCTGTTTGGGGAAGGCAGAAAGGGTGGCGATAAGAAGGCGAGTTTCATCCTTCTTTAGCCTCCTTACATTTCAAGCAGGAGGAACGTCCTCTGATCAGAAATTTCACTTCTGTGCCAAGTTTCAAAAATATCCTGGCACTCCTTTTCTCCTTCCCCCAGTGCTGACTTGCTTCATTCTTTCTCAGAGTATGTTCTCACGAAGAAATGGGGATGGCAAGCTGCACACCTGATTTTAGCATCTGCGTGTTCTTCTCTGTTAGTTCCTGGACGCGGTGGAACTGGGTTCTTTGCAGCACTGCAGAGGATGCGGGAAGCTCAGGTCAGGTGTGAGGCAAGTTTTGACTGCAGGCAACTCGGCAGCCTGCAAAGTAACTCGCCTCTGAGAGGTACCACAGTCGTGGTTTGCCTCACGGTCTTTCCTGGCTGTGCAATAGGCTCCTGCACAGCCCTTCGCGCGTCCCAGCCTGCTTGCAAGGGCCTGTCCTAAGGATAAGATTTTGCTCTTACAGACAGGCCTGGACTGTGTAAGTGCAATTATCTTTGGAGTCACCTCTTCTGGGGACATTGCCATACGCCTTTCCCGTGCTCGGGTAATGGTTCAGCTCTGCTCTGCTGTGTGTGCAGTGTTTCAGGCAGGGGAGACCAGGGCTCAGATGTCTTTTCCTTACTCTCTGTCGGAAGGTGTTGGCAGCTTTGGTGCTTACAGTGTCTCTGTGGCAATGGGGTAGAGGCGCTGGGCACCCTCAGGACAGCTGATGTGACAGCTGATGTCCCTCACGAGTACAGCCCAGCGCCCAGCCGTCCCTGGGCACCTCTGCTGCAAAGGCTCGTCAAGGGGCAGTCCCTTGTGCTGCAGGACACGAACCGGCGGGGCAGGCAGGAAAGGTGATGGCTCTGCCCGGATTCCCTGCACATCCTGGGCATGCTCAGCGGGCAGGGCGCAGCTAGGAGGAATAAGGAGCTCTTCGCCTCCAAAACGTGCTGGTTAGCAGTGTGAGAAATGAACCACTTGCAGAGGCACAGATTTTAGTAGGCAACATTGCAAACAACGTTAATTCCTGCTCTCAAAGGCAGATTTAGCAGAATGGCCAAGCATTTAATTAGCTTACACAAAGAACTAGTTTTACCCTTCAATGCTTCTATCTGCTGTTGAAACATTGCAAAGTCCTGCTCTGCAGAAAACACTAATTAGCTGCAGCCCAGGAAATCTACCTCAAGGAAAAATCATGCAGATTCCTTTTAGGAAGGAAATAGAGAATTTGGTCTCAGAGCCTTAGACACAGCTGTCTCTGGACAGATAATGAAATATCATTGGTTCCCTTTGATTTCTGAAGGAAACATAATGAAAGAAACATGAATTTTGAAGATAAGAATGAGAGTACAGTGTGCATGAATAAAACAGAACTACAATGAGTTCCCTCTGTCCACTTCAACACTTAGCATTTTCAGTTGAGCAGGCTCTAAAACATGGATCACTGTGCTGTTTATTCCTGTTGAACACCAGGGTACCTCCCTAGGAGGTCTGTTTTCTGCAAGTGTTAAAGCCCTTAAGTATCAGCACCTCGATTTATCGTGCTAATAGCTGCAAAAGCAGCGTGATAACCTCTGAGCTCTTGCCATGTCTTAGTTTGATTATATTACAACGAAATGGAGACCAATTTCCTCCCAGATGGAAAACCTCAAGGAGGGAAAAACTGCACACTGTCTCATGGTGCTGGCCCCACGCGCAGGGGTGCTGATCCCGGCCTGGTGCCGGCTCCCAGACCGGAGCGCGCAGCAGAGTGCCCGGGAACAGCGTCCTGCCCGCTCCCTGCGTGCCCGCTCTGTGCCGTGGCGAGGGTGAAGTGCTCTGCCTTGGCAGCTCGTCCTGCGGCAGAACTCCTCTGCCAGCTCCAAGGATGCTGCGTTTCGCCCTCTTCTCCTCCACCTTTGCTGGGTTACTGGTACAACTCAGGTGCTCTGCAAAGCTGCCCTTGCTGGTGTGCCAAGCACGTGGCCCCAAGGCCTCCTCGGGTCCTGCGGCTGAGGTGGCGGCCAGCGCTGCTGCGGGGCGCTGGCTGCACCCGCTGCTCTGTGGCCCGGAGGTGCACAGGGACGTGGGCTCCCTCCTGTCCCCTGCGCCACTAGGAACAAGGTGGTGGCTTCTCGGGAGGTCAGTGGTTTCTTTGGACTGCTGTAGCTCTGCCATTAGCTGCACTAAGGCTTGAAGTCTAAACAACTCCAAACTGTTCAGAGTTTATCTTGAGATCTCTTCTAGTCGGTGCAGTGCCATGAGAAACAGGCCAAGGTTAATTTGTCTAAATATGGATTAAAAGCTACTCAGATATGAAAAGCTTTTGGACGCGGCCCCGCCGAGCAGCGCGATCCAAATTCGGGGTGACGTGACAGGGAGCGGGCGCCGGGCGCGCGGGAGCCGCGCTGCTGGCCGGGCAGCGCCTGCCCTGTCTGCCCGCAGCTCAGGCTGGGCACCGGCAGGACCTGCAGGTGAAACCGTGGCCCAGGAGCGTGGTGGGAATGAGGGAAGTGGGAGAGTGGCGCCAGAGGAGAAGTTTAAGGGTGACTGGCTGTACCCTGCCTGTGGATCGCTCACAGGAAAGGCAGAACTTGTCTTATTCTCAGCTAAGCTCTGTCTGCCCTGTGAATGCAGGACTTTAGTTTTAAGTGGGGTTTATCATGCAGGAACGTTAGTATCAATTTAGAATATCAAATGCCATCTATGGAAGGAAAAATGGAAGGAAACCTTTCTGTTTTATTAGAGAACATGGATTTCTAATGCTATATTTAGTGATTACAGGGAGTACTGCGCTGAGTCTTGGTGTGTAGTTGGGTGCAAAGCAATCTGCAGCTCAACGAGATGAAAATTGCTTGTTCCAGTTCTTGGGGCCTGCCAAGGAGCAGCCTGAGAAGTGTCTAAACAGCCTCGACCCTTCAAGGTGTTACTTTTTTATGGCAAGTGCAACTTTATGTTGATCCAAAGGCTATTATACTTTGTGTTTTTCTTTTTAAACTTTTGCAGGCCTGGCTGTGAACCATCCACTTGCAGCCCTGCAATAGAATAGTGGCTAGATCTGAATTTCGTCGTGTGTTTTACCATTTGTAGAAGTGTCAGAAAGTATGGAGAGGGAGAAGACAGTTTTCCATGGTTAGACTGAAAGTGAATCTGGAAAGGGGCTTTTAATGCACATGACAGTGGCGTTTGCTTGCTCGAGTTACCCTGATGTGTCAGTTAGCCCAGACCTGGCGCTCGCCTGCGACGTAAGCAAGGAAGCCTCCAAGTAACCTGAGGAGCAGATTAGGGGAGTCCAGGGAGTGACTGGCTTGATGTACGAGAATGCAGGTCTCATCCAGGAGTCAGGACGGAGAGAAATGTGAAGGCCTGAGATTTGCAATATATAGACTCTAACGCTGCCTTCTGGTTTTAGCATGGAAGAGAATTGGCTGAGGTTATCTTCAAATACTTTTTCTTAGTTTTTAAAAGTATGTGGTTTTATGTGAATGTTATGTGAGTGGTGTTATGCATAATTCAGTAATTCACATGTTCTGGTCAGGTTTTTAAGCAGCTCACTGCTCATGCAAATCGATCCTCCCCTTGAAGTTTTGTTGGAGCTCCGTTACAGTAATTAATATTTAGACTTCATTTTATTTCCACAAGCTTCCAATATACTTATTATTGAACTGAATCTTCCTCATCCGTGCTGCAGCAGAGCAGGAGAGATCTGCCAAAGCCAGAGCCATGTTGCAGGGAGGATGAGAGGTCAGGCCTTTCGTACTGTACAGAGAAAGACAGAATACATATTGGAAGAGCAGCAGGAGGGGAGAATTACCTTTTTGTTGTTATACGTGATGTAAACTACACAAAGGAGGGTTGCCTGCCACCAAAATGTTCGGTGGGATAAAGGGAAAAATACAGGCCTGGAGACTATACAGATAAATGACCCCTGAAAGTAAATTTGCAGAACTGAAGCTAGGCAGAAATTTGAAGATTGGGAGTCTAAAACACTGTTCTTTTTAAATTTGTAAGTTTTATTCTTTATGGCTTTTATAAAGGAAAACTCTTGTTCCTGACTTACAGCATGCAGGATAAATTGTGCCTGGATTTAAACATATGTTTGAGTTTTTTCTTGGCTTTAACCCTATTAGCTCATGATACTGAGAGCTCCTTATGCTCTTGTAGAGCTTTTTGTACATCCACATGTGCCACAGATTCATCCTGGATTCTCTTGTCCTCTTTTCCAGGATTTCACTCACAATATAGGTATATTAGGAGGAATTCTGGTAAAACCACTGTTGCTTTGCCAGCAAAATAAAAGGTGACAGTAACTGCCATAAGAAAGATATTTTTTCCATAAAATATTTCATCACATAACTTATAATTTATATGCAGAGATAGTGAAACATTTGAAATATTTGCAGAACAAATGAATGGTCCGTTGAGTGAAAAATCTTGTTTTATTTTGTAGAATAGAGCAGAGCACATGCATTTCACCAAGAGAAGCAACTGAGCAACTGCACAACAAAAATGAGGTAAGTGTAACCGAAACCTGAAATACAGCATTGCAAATTTTGGGTTAGATAGTGTTGTGTAATTCTCAGCTCTTGGAATAATATAATCACATGCCTATCTTAGCTTAGCTTTTTAATGCATAATTCTAGTCATGTTTTTAGAGAAAAGTTTAAAAATGTGATATGATGCTACAGTGGTTCAAAAGCCGGAAGAGTTTTTAAACATAATTTAAGCCAACTTTATGCTGCTTTGTATTTGTGCTCAGAAAAGAATTCAACATTCAATATTGACTGACTGAAATGTCATCTTGCAAAAACATTTGATTTGTTCCTCATGTTACAGCTCAAATGTATTCAGCTATCAAATATGTTATGTTTAAAAATAAGGAGATCTCAAGGTTGCCACATCCTGCATCACAAAATGTGGATGGATCCAGGTAATCTACGTGTAGGTGCAAAGGGCAGGCGAGGAGAGGCAAATCCGGGGTGGAGGAGTGGGCAGCGCGGGGACGAGGGCGGCGGGTGCGCCCGGCTGCAGCGGGCGGCGCGGGGACCAGGGCAGTCAATGCGCCCGGCTGCAGCGGGCGGCGCGGGGACCAGGGCAGTCAATGCGCCCGGCTGCAGCGGGTGGCGCGGGGACCAGGGCAGCGGGTGCGCCCGGCTGCAGCGGGCGGCGCGGGGACCAGGGCAGTCAATGCGCCCGGCTGTAACGGGCGGCGCGGGGACCAGGGCAGCAGACGCGCCCAGCCGCAGAGGGCGGCGCGGGGACGAGGGCAGCGGGTGCGCCCGGCCGCAGCGGGCGGCGCGGGAGACCGAATGGCCGCACGGTGGTTTTCCCTTCTGCACGGAGGGGACCCCAGCGGCTGGGCTGCAGCTCCACGAGCAGGCTGTGTTTTTAAGAAGGCCCATTCCTGTCACTCCACGATAAAAACAGCTTTGTTTTCATAAGGAGCCAGAGAACATCAAAGTTTATTAATAGATGGCTGGCTTGCAGCAGGAGAGCTGCAGTGTGTCCTTTTAAAGAAATCTAGACTTAATCTTCTCCTTACAATGAATTATTTCCTGTGCATTTGTGTCACTGTCACTCAGCTCACTATTAAAAATCCCAGTGCTAAATAATGAAGCCTTTCCCATGACCAGTGTAGTGGGATGGGCCCAGTCCTGGTCTGGCCAATTAAGGCCCTAGGAGAAATCATTACCTTTTCATTTCCTCTGAAAAGCCCTATTGCAGGTGTCACCAAAATTTGTGCAAATACAGGATTTATAATTCTTGCAGATCATTCCCTAAAGGTTAAGTATTATAGAACATTTAAAAAAGTCATTAAGAGAGACAATTAAATTAGAAATTAAATTACTAGTTGTTCCTGGGGAGCGCTCGTTCCAGTGCAATTTTCTTTGTTGTTGTTTTTGCAGAGGGTTGGATTGTTTTGCATTTCAGGTCTATTGCAAAGCCAATAGACGTGTGTCATAGGGCAGGGTCTTGCGGTTCCTCACTGCGCAGCGGTGCCCCTGTGCAAACCTGGCACGCGTCGTGTTCTGCCTTAGTCTTGCTTGTTTGTTCCCATAAAGAAACCTCTGAATTGAAAATGTCAGAAGCCTCAAGACACAAACATTGCCCAAAAAGATGTCACAGAGACTTATTTACCTGCACATGAGATATGTCTTTCTTATTTTTAACCTGAATTCTGAGATTAAAAGGTTTTATATGCTGCTTTTCCATGTTACTGTTCTAATACTGCTTTTAATTTCCTCATTATGGGGAAAACCTGCACAACTTGCTCTTTGCTCTGTTTCCTTGCTGCATGCATTGCTCCAAAGGCCACTGAACACTAGAAGCCTGGATTTTTCTGTTCTGTGCCCTGGGTATTCTACAAATCCCGAAGCACATCCATAAGGCGGGTGCGATGGGCTGGCGCCCGGCACGGGGCTCTGCTGGGGCAGGAGCGGGCCCTGGGTGGGCGCTGGGCGCCCTGGTGTGCGTGGCGGGGCCGCCTCTTCCCCCTGCCTCCTTCCTCAGCTCCTACATGTTCCAGATCTTGGCGTGGCCACGAGGCTGGAACCACTCGGAGGATCCCCGCCGCGTAGCGGCACCCGATGGGCTCGCGGTGTGGGGCACACGAGCAGGCACCTACCCCCCTCACCCACTGGGGAAAAAGCAAAGTTATTTGAGCGGATTTCCACTCATTGCCACAGAATTTTGGCAATAGATTAGCTCTCTATTCACTCAGTGTCTTTTCAGGGGGATTTAGCAGGGTGAGTGCAAATATGTGGTATTTATTTCTAGACAGTAAGGAGTTATCTCTGATCTCACTAATGTGCTGGCTTAAGGCCCAAACTCTTCATTTTCAGTAATTACTTGCTGGAAAGAGCGGTGGTCAGTGGGGCAGCAGGTTACTGGATTGTAAAGAAGGTCTCTTCATTAGAAGCCGAGCCTCTGTGAATAGCAACGCATTGCACTGTTTTCTCCAGCAGAAAAGAGTATTATTCTTTAATGTTTTTGGTTTCTTAGACTTGCAAAATACTGTCCTTAAGAGCTGATGATATGGATACTTTGCTGAGGATACTTAAAGATTGGTCTTTATTCAGGTAATCTTATGCCAATTCTTATTTTAACCTGAGGTAAGTTAAATGTTACTGAATTACATGTGTCTTTTTAAAAAGCTTGCTGCTTTCATGTGTTGGGTCTGTTCTTGCTTTCGTTTGTGTTAGTGTGGAAGTTACTGCATCCAAACCAGGAGCGTTACACGCCCAGGGAAAGGGGAGGTGAGCGCTGCCTTTCTGGAGACCGTTGGCTGACAGCTGCCTGTAGCTGATGCCATGGCTTAAGTTTTGCTGCGTGTTGTTGGTTTCCTCGTGAGCGCTCGCGGGAGCGCCCGTCACAACGTGGCGTTTCCCGGGCCGTGCCCATCCGCGGGGCGCTGCCCGTGCCCGGCTCGCGGGCGCCGCTGCCGCCTCGCAGCACGCGGCTGTGTCGGAGCAGGGGCACTCGGAACTCTGCTCCACACTCACTGTCTCCCTGGTAACGCCAGACTGATCCAAGTCGCACCTTCTTTTCCCCCTACATCGAATCACTGTCAAAGGCACCTTCACAAAATTATATATTTCTATTATTGTTATTATATGATTTTTTTTTTTAGTGTTTGGGAGTGACTGGAAATTTGCCATCCACCCACCTTCCACAGACGGGCGAAAAATATCAGTGGAAAATCTCATAACTGGATATGAACCAGCTGGGGAATTGCAGCCTAAGTGTTGCCGAAATACAGTGCTTCACAGTGTAGTCTGGGGGAAGGCTTTTATATTAAGCTTCTCACAAATATTCCTGTGTCAGGACGAAGTACTGAGTTTATTTTCTTGATATGGGATTTTTTTTTGTGAAATGCTTTGAGTAGCAGTCCGTGAAGCTTCGGTGCCTTGGTCAGTTGTTGGCCCATGTTCTCCTTGCCAGCAGGAGGAGCCTCCCTTGCAGACTTCGGAAATACACTTGCCACTTGCCACAAGGTCCACGCTGGCATCAGAGTCCCCCCAGCCCCTAAGTTTGTATAGTCCCTGCTCCCCAACTAGCGTTAGCGACTGCAGGCGCTGCTGCTCTGCCGGGGCAGCTCCACGCGGCGCTGGTCTAGCTCAGAGGGGAGGCCTCGCTGAGTAAGGCCTCTCCCATCCTGAAACCCTCCCCGGGGAACGCCTTCCCAAAGGGGCCCCGTTATGTTGGCACATGTAGTCTGCGAAGGACAAGTCACTGCCTCTTGAAGGCCGCGGGAAATGAGAGAGTCTGCCCTCTGATCTGAGTGAGGCCTGTGGAAGAATTGCTTCTTGTGGGGAAAAGAATAAGCAAGAACATTTGTTGGGTTTGATGTAGTTGACATGAATTAATTAGAGGATTAAACAAGACTTTGAGAATGGCTTGTAAAAGAGGTGCAAGCTGATAGTTAAAAAGTTCATTAAGTGTAAAAAAAAAAATAAATCCACTAAGTAAACAGTCCAGGTAGGAATCACCAGTGCTGCTAGCTGAAGCCAAGCCACTGTGCCAGGCCACAAATAACCAGGTTTAAAATAGGGACTTTTTAGGTATTTGTGACAGCCTACTTATACTAGCAGGGAGCTCTTCTATAAAGGGTAGAGAAGAAATGTTTTACTGGATACTTAATCATCATGGGAATAGTAAATGTGTCTTCTGCCTTAGATCATAGAAACCAGCTCCGTATCATACCAATTTTTTAAAGAATAGTGTTACATTAGGCACTTAATTGGAATCAATGCTTGATCTTGCAATTACTGTTTTCCTGGTACTGTGGTTATGGATGAAATATCAAGATGCATCTTGACAATAGATGAGAGGAACTTAATTCTCAAATAGATGTGTAACACCCAAGCTATTTCTTTCCTTATGCGCCCCTGCTTCCAAATAGAAGGGCCAGAAGTCCAGCTAGCTCTGGGATGAGGAGGAGGAAGGTGCTCCCTGATTTTCTTCTGGTAGGCTGTGGGCTAGAGCCTACGTGTTTACTTGTAGTATAGTCTGCTTTGTGGAGATGAATATGGGTTTTGAAGCTCTTTGCACAGCACACAGTACAAACAGGGTCACAGGATCTAGTTACCTACTTAAGGCAACCTTGTGCCTTAGAAAATTCACTACTTTTTTCACTCTATTTCCACTTCCTGAATTCTATAAATGGGAGTGAAAGGATCAAGGCTGAGAATCTTCCCTGCTGCTCTCAGCCAAAGCTTTTTTTTAAAGCTAAAAATACTAGCATCCTTGTGTACTTAACATGACAGTATTACAGTAAAACTAAAGCACTGGCATATTAAAATACTAAGTACATAGTTGTTATACTGTTACACAAGGAGAATTATTTAAATAAATTTATTATTTTATTACACAAATTGCTAAATTGGTCTCAGTTTTTCTTATGGGGCAAGGAAAGACCCTAGGCTATTAAGCCGAGGGAAAAACTCCAGTGCATCTCGGATGTTTTGCAGGAAGCATTCCTTGCAGACGAGCACACCTTGGAGTGACTTGGCATTTTACGTGTGTTCTCTGCGCACCAGCTGTGTGATTATTAAAGCAGCCTTCGGTGGTTTTGTTTTATGTTACAAGCTGTATTTCCTTTGAGAGGGGAGCTGAATATGTGGGGTATCAGTAGTGACTCATGTCGCCCAGTCAGATGGTGATTAGGGCTTTCACAGCATTTGCATCACAGCAAGATGCTGGTGTCAGATTATGCAGCTGAATATTGCAGGCAGCATTAAAGATTAAAATGAGAAATGGACCAAGCATGACGGGGTAGCTGGAAGTGATGTTGCAGATAACCAGCCTTGTCCTCATTGATTTGTCTGCAGCTAGTGACAATGATCTGTTAATTTTGCCTTTGCAGCAGCAGATAGGAAATGATGTGGTTGCCCTGTAGAAGCAGCAGCCTACATAAATGCCAGGGCTACTTAAAGAAGTATCTCTAAAAAGCCAATTAACACACATTTTGCGAGAGTCCCGTGGGAGAGGTGGTGTTCCCAGTAACCCTTTGCTCACTGCCAAGTTCTGCACAATAGGCTGGAGAGGGAGATTTGGGGGTTTTGTGAATGGTAAACGGGGAGGGACATCATGTCATCAGATCGTGATGTCAGCAAATGAATGAAGTACCTGCCTAGAGTATCGCTTCAAGACCAGGGAAACGGACACCATTGCAGTTTGGCTTCCTAAAATAAATTGTCTTTTGCTGACGGAGTCATCTTTCCCACGTGTCATGAATAATCCATTTAAATGGGGACTTAAATAACCGGAAGAAATGAAGAAACTCCCGGAGTAATGCACATTTGTTCTCATGCCCAGCCAGGCAGCGCGTTAGTGGAACACCCCCTCGCAGGCGCCGCCAGCCCACGGCTCCGTGAGCTGAGGCGCTCTCGCTCTGCCTCGTTGCTCTCTCCGCAGCCCAATGTTCTGCTTTTGCCTGCAGAATTCCTTGCTGAAGCTGCAAGCCCTTGAGAGCGATCTCTGCTCGGCCTTCCTGACAGCGCAGGAGGAAGCGCCGCAGCTGCCGGCGGCCAAGGAGGCAGCCCCTGCATCGGTGCAGAGCGGCGCGCAAGCTGATGGGGCCGGCGGTGCAGGTAAGCGGTCGCGGCAGGATGTGCTCTCATTTGCAATTATAAAACAGCTCTGTGACTGGCAGGGTAATCTCAGATCTGCAGCCCTCTGGGAAACGTGCAGAGCTCCTGCAAGGCACCATTTCCTCATGCAAATACTCTGTAATGTAAAAAGGGTGATACCTGTTAATAGGAGCGGGAATGAATGGCAACTGTATTTGATCCTAAGAGGGAAGCTTGCTTTTCGGGAAGATTTTAAGAGTCTTGATTCCTTTAATTTCAGTTTTGGTCTCCTTTTGTTTAAGTACAGTTGTGCTCTTTATTTCCTACGTCTGTTATATCTGTACTGTGTGAAATCATCTGCCATATCATGTAATTCTGTTTTTGTCATTTTTTTTTTGTCAGAGCAATATCACTTCATTTCTCCTATTATTGATTTTAATTTAATGCATCAGCAGAGAGATAGTGAAGGTGAGTTTTACAGCATGCTGATTTTAATCATTCGTGAATCTGTGTCATTATACATCTGGGCAAACTGGTGTGTTCTCTCTCTCCCTTTTGCCCCCAGTATGTATGGAAACCACTTCTTGCAAGCAGGCGGCCCTGAGACTCAGCATTATTTTTTGTCAATTCATATCTTGTAGTCACAGGGCTGGCAGAATCGTGAGGCTCAGTGGAAGAGGAATCACGATTCATGAAAAATAGGTCAACGGCAAGATGACTAATATACCTCACAGACAGGTGACATGAATACACAAATACTTACATTTTAGACCATATATAGTTGACATTAAGGCAGATAGGTGTGTAATTCCAGTTTTGTCATGCACTTATCTCAGAAGCTGCTTGCCTGGAATTTTCATAAATAGTAAGCTATTTATTTAAAAGGAATTACCAATTATACCATTTTATTTAAGACACTATAAAGTTTGAGGTTTACATTGCACATTTAAGGGAAATGGTACATAGAATAGCAAAGCTAAAAGCTATGTTTTTGCTTTTGATTTTTTTATTTAAGAAAAGAGCAGATGCTTTAGCTCAGCTGGGCAGATGCCCAGCTGCTTCTGCTGGCCCCTCCACGTGAACCTGAGGTCGTGTCCAGACTGTACAGGCACAGGCCTCTTGTAGCTCATCCCAAACCTGCACGCCCCTTCTCCTTGTGGCAGGGTGTGTTTTCCCTCCTCTTCCAGGAGTCTGCCAAACTATTTTGTTCTTGTAGTTTCATAATTCATTGTTTAGATGGTTCATAATAGGCTTCATTTGATTTTGTTTTTCTGTTTTAATTTGATGTTGTTTGAACTTAACCCATGAGCTCTCCCCTTTGCCTGTGTGCAGTGGCGTGGGCAGGCACTGGATGATGTAGCATTTCTCTCCATAGTTCAGAGCATGCTCTGTCACTCAGGGCAACTGTAACCTGTACTTCAGAGAAAGCTTGCCTATATCATCGATTGTAGTATACTCTTGTCACACTAATGCCTCTTTTGTGCCCTTCTAAAACACCTTTTAATCTTTGCATAAATTCCTAAATTTCTCTCTCAAATTGCTCCTGAAATTTTCTGATATATTCAGTTTAGATACAGTAGTCTTGTGGGACTAGTGGCTATTCCAGCTCAAACTGAGATGAAATCCACTGATTTGCACCAAGTTTAGGACAGAATTTTTGGGGGATGTGACATACATGCTGCATCTCTACTTATTAGCCTTTGCTCAGTGAATCTGGATATCACCTCATAAAAAGAAGTATTTACATTTCTATTTATAAAATCAAACCATTAAGAATTGCATGGGAGATATTAAGCTAGGTATTCTTACGGGAGAGAAAAAAAAGGTAAAACACATAATTTTTAGTTTTCAAATATGAGTTCACATCAAATATGTGTCTCAAACTGTGAGCAACTGAACTTTATCTACAAAGTATTTTAAAAGTCTTTTGAATTTTCAATGAAAAATCCTAATACTGGCATTCACAGACATAGATGAGATGAGAGATGAACATGCTGTTCTTCATATGCAACAGACTAGGTGTGTTATTTTATAAACTAAAGAATATCACAGGCAGGAATAGAGACTTGTACCTGTTTGGATGTATGGCCAGCATCCCCATCATGAAGCAAACAGCCTGGTGCAGGACTGCAGATCTTGGCTTTACCAGAGCCTTTGATGAGCCCTTGTGGGTGCCAGGCTGCACTGAGTAGATGAGCTGGAGCAGATGCAAACAGGGAGGCAGCTTCCTAGTTTTGGCGAACACACAAACACAGGTAGGCGTTGGGCTGCTCCTAGGCCAATGCTTAGGCTCTTGATTAGAATCCATGCAGGCCAGAACTGGGATGGGGGCCCTGAACTGTGATCAGAAGTGGGGCTCATTATAACTTGTCATCGTCATGAAATGTCACATAAGTGCCTCTGAGTTGGACAGACTGAATGATTTGCTGTGCTGCTTCCGGACAATAGCTGGTAATTAATATATCTGTGTTAGGGTTGGGACCCTTCCTGAGGGCCTTATTTCTCCCAGATGCCTTCCTGTGCCTCCCCGTGAGGATTTCATCTCATATACAGTTTAGAAGTTTGGGAATTGGTCTAGTATCTCAGAGAAGAGAATCTGACCTACAAAATAGGAACTATTCAGAGGAAAGATGCTGGGTCAGAATTAATAATCCAGTACCTTGTCTGACTGTGAAAACACTAACATAATTAAAATTGATGGAACTATCAGAGATACAAAAGCCATGTGTTGGATAATGGATGTCTTAGACTAACCTGTCTGACAACATAAAATTCAATTTTTGTTGTCTGCAGAGCAAGAACAGGTGGGTAGTTACATGATAAAACAACATTTCAGGCCACTGTCATTATTACTTTTGAAGTCAATAGTTACTTTTGAAGAAGCATACCATTTAGAGCCAATTTGTTCTCACCATTTCAGGCCAGCAACAGGAACTGCTAGCCTCAGTGTGTCTTGTGCAGAGGTTAAATAAAATGCAGCAAAAAGCTCTGTTACAATCTTAAGGGAGATACTCACTCATCATGGAATACCATATCCCATATAGAAAGGTGAAAATGAAGAGCGACTGCAAAAGAACTTTTCTAGATTTGCCTGCTCTTCTGAGACTAAACCAGGTATAGTTGTTTTTCTGGTCAGTTTTAGATTTCTCTCCAGTAAAAACAAATCCGTGAAACATATTGGAATGATTATACATGGCAAGCATAATATTGACAGGAGATGACCCTTTAGGCTGCCTGGGAATAACAGAATAATTAATATTTTTATTCATAGTCTGGATGGACACATCGTTTTGGAGGAAGAAAAATTGACATAGTTGATGGAAAATGTAAGATACTATGAAAACAGATGTAGCGGAATCTGAGAGAACATTCTTTGCTTAAACATATATTTTCTGTTTGTTGAGGGAAGTTTTCTGTGGTAGTGTGGGATTTCTTCCTAAAAGCACAATCTGCTTTAAAAGCCCAACTGTCCATGAAAGTAGGTCATCCCGACCCGTTGCTCACACTGGGTGTGAGGATGAAGGTTTAATGTTCTTCCTGTTAGTGCACCCTGTCCCATGAGGGCAGGATGAGCTCTGGTATGCTCAGGGGGCAGGCTTAGGAATGTGCCATGTATTTCCATGCGACTCATGAATGGAATCAGAGTGATGGGATTCACCACCTCTTACATTTTTAGAACAGAAAAAATCATCCTGACTTCCATCTTGACCATCTCTTTAAAACAAATTTTGGTTTTTGACTGACTGTAGGAGTTGTGACTAGGTTTCCCTTTATTTTTAGAGGCATTACTGACGTCGTACCATAAGCAGCAGTCTTTGAGACAGCAGTCACTGCACACTACCTTGAGTAAAGACTTTGAATGTCGTATATTTTTATACTTTGTGTTCTTTATACCTTTAAATGTGTTGCTTCAAAACTTAAACACATTCTACAGGATCCTGCAAACAACACTGGAGGTTCTTAGCATCAGGAGCATCAGGGCATTCTGTACTTTTGTTCTGCCTTTTTCTTGATCAAAAGATTAATTGCCAAGTCAGGAAATGAAACTTGTTTTCTATATTCATCTTCTGTTTTGGGCATGTGACTTTCCAAAAGCAAATAAATGTATACAAACCTAACTATGCTTCTGTTCTGGGAAACTCTCCATATTTAAATAATACTTCATAGTTTACAAAAACACCCAACCACCCACTCACTTTCTACCATGGAACTGAAGATAATGTAATGCTAAACCAGTAACTTTTCTGTTTTCTGATCCTCAGTATTATGCTCAACCTGCATGTAGTACCTTGCTAAACAGCTTGCTATCTTTGCTTTAAATACTTTTATATGTATAAATTTGTTTTAATCTATGTAGATGAGTATCCAGTTAATGACCTTCCATCCATACAGGTTTGTCTGTTTATTGCAGAGCCTGTACCAGCCCCCAGAGACTGGCAGAATGACATGGACAGCAGCCCTCAAGAGCATCACTCCATAGGGACCAGTCGACTACTGTATCATATTACTGATGGAGACAATCCCCTTTTGTCACCACGCTGCTCTATTTTTAGCCAAAGCCAGAGATTTAATCTAGACACAGAGTCTGCCCCTTCTCCACCAAGTGCTCAACCTTTCATGATGTAAGAAAATATACTTTAATTCTTATATACTTCTAAGTTATTTGTTTACAATCCAGGACCTTTGACTCTTTATGTTTTGCAGGTACTGTTATGTTAGAAATAATAAACTTCCATATTATGTTTTGACATGGCCAATTTGCCATTACACCTAGCATTTTTCAAAACCATACAGTTTGAAGTTTAATTACAGTTATTAATGACAGTTTTAATGTCAGTTTTAATGGCTAGCAGTGGCTAGTGACAGTTTTAATGGCTATTCACTGATGAGTGAATATAAGATAGAGAGGGATATTAGAGGTCTACTATTAAAATGTTCAGCTTTAATAAAATTATCACTTGAGTTATTTGTAGATACAAAAGCACCACAAAACATATGAACAGTTCGTATATGTGATCACCTAAAAAACAAAGTGTGAGTTTCAGTCAGAAACCACACTTTCTTAAAAGCTTTATGCATATCTCAATCCACTGAATATAATAACAATCAGATGTATTGATTTGTAATGAAACTGTCTTTAAAATGTCAATATTTATTACCAGTGATAAAAAATTATCTGGTGCATACTTTACAAAAATGTTATTAGGATCCAGGAAATGGGAGATTAGTGCAGATAGTACTGTTAAATGGAAGTACCAGATCAGTTTGTGACCCATGGAATTGGGTGTTGAAACTTTTCAAAACTTCTATAATTAATTTCAAAAATAAGAGAGGAAGGAAGAAAGGAAGGAAGGGAAACAAAGAAATAAATTAGACAACCGACCCGTAACCGGTAGAACCTACAGATACCTTCCAGGGAAAGCAGTTACTTTATGGTTACTTTAAAAAATTCATCTCTCTCAAACCTTTTAAGAACACAGCTCCAAATTCTGAAGTGTTGGGAAAATGTAAGTGTGCCTGGAAAAAGGACACAGATTCATACAGCCAATCCCTTGACAGATCTTAACGCTTTTGTTTTTTGCAGGCCAAGAAGTACTTCTAGATGCAACTGTGAAGATTGCAAAGAACCACAGACAGTAGCACAACTTACCAAGCATCTTCAGAGTCTCAAGAGAAAAATTAGGAAGTATGAAGAAAAGTTTGAACAAGAAAGAAAATATCTGGTAAGATAAGATATCATTGAAAAGATAAGGAGAAATACAGAATCACAGCAAGGATCTGAATGTATTTAAACTCTTGCAAAGTCATAAGAAAGGGGTATTATGGATAAAATGATATAGGAAAATCATCAATGAGAGAATGTTTTATCAGCTATTAGTGTGTTTAATAGTTCTGAGGCTATAATTTGCATCTCCTTTGGATCATAATCATCTCCATCTTCTAGATGCTTAAATCAGTTAACCGCAGATAATGAGTTTGTGAACCAGAATGATTCAAACTATGAAAAGCTGCTTGTTTACTTTGTAGATAAAAGTCATTTGCTTGGAATGTTTGTTCTGCTGTGCAGGTTGTTTTGTTCAGGCTGAGTCCTGTAAAGCTGCAGGCCTCAGTGCTCCACTGAAGCACCAAGTTCAATATAACTTGATTAAATTTCTTATGAATGAGACAAAGGATCTGGGGTGGAAACAGTAAATGCTCTTTGGTAGCACCACTTCTTAGCAATTGGGTAGCTGCTGTTTTAAATGTTTACTGGAGTCATCTATTTTTATAATTACCAAGGCAAGAAGAGAGTCTCATCATTCACTGTGATTATGCTGCCTTTGTTCTTTAATGCTACATATTTAAAATACATATGCTGCTTTAGTGAGTGGACTGCCTTAAGGCTTCTTGCCCCACCTTGAAGGAATTAAAAGCCTGATCCTGAGAGGTTAAGTGCGTAACAAAATCTGCCTACCCTTGAATCAACTTAAGTCTGTCAATTTGATGCGTACAAGAAAAGTAACGGCATGATCATCAATTCCTTTTCCTTTTTTCCCCTTTTCTTTACATTCAGCCTTCACATGGTGACAAGAGCTCCAATCCCGAAGTCTTAAAATGGATGAATGATTTGGCTAAAGGTCGCAAGCAGCTCAAAGGTACTTACTAGCATGTGTGTCATTTCATTGCCTGGTGGGAACTTGCATTATATTGATATAGATATTTGAAATCAGTATGAATACACCAGGAGTATTTTAGAGTTTGATTTCCATTCTTAGTTCTCTGCTTATTTTTCCCTAACTCATGGCATTAGTCTCTTAATGACAGCAGAGATATGAAATGATATGACTTGATTCCCAGAGTGGGGACTGAAGTAAGGCTGTGCAACTCTTGTAATAAGGGAAAATACACATCAACTTCCCCTCGTAAATATTAACCCTCACGCAAAGTAACTTCCAGTGGTAGTTTTCTAAGTGGCTGTATGCTATTCCATGGTCAGTAGAACATATATAAGATACTTAACTACAAATTAAAGGCTTCCTTGTGATATAGTGCAAATGTAGTGCCAAAAGGTTTTTTAGCACCTTTTTAGAGTTATGAAACTCTAAAGACTTTCTCCAATCTATCATAAAAATGGATTTTCCCTCATATTCGATTTGGTCTTGAGGGTCAGATTTTGCCCTTGCCTCACTTGCACACAGTTCCATTACCATCTGTGGGCACATCACATGTTTGCCCCTGGGGAGAATGCAGCCAGGATGGATTGATTTTTTTAAAGCTGTTTATAAATTATCTGTTTTTGTTGTTGTTTTTTCCTATTATAAATAGACCCCTTTCTGCTAATTAAATTGTAGTATTGTGCTTTATCTCTCTTTGGGTATAATGAAGAATGTAGAGATAGAGGATGAGATTAGGGTGAATAAAGGAATTAGAAACTCATTTTTCAGTGAATTTCTTTTAGAAAACACTCCTTTAAATACTGGGCTGCATCATTACTAGTTTTGTTTTTTTCCCCCCATGAACCTTGTGTTATAAATCCAGGAAGGGCAAATGAGGGACACAGCCCAGCTACATATCTAACTTTATAAAACTTGTATCTCCACCTTCAGCATAACTCTGGCAATCAGTTGGTTTAGTTTCCGTAAATCAAATCCCCTTCATACCCAGAACCCAGGTGAGCTGGGCTGGGAAGCTGGGACACATGGGACGCCCAGGGACTTCTGCGTCTTATGCCGGGTTGTGCAGGTGCTGCTCTGCCAGGGGGACCCGTTCAAAGGAAGAGGCTGGTTCTCCACGTCAGAGGCAGCTCTGCGTAGAGCGAGAGCGGCCGCGGTGGCCGCGGTGGCCACGTGGCCCCTGGCGAGGGCAGTTCCGCTGTAGCTCCTGCTGGGGCAGGGCACAGCTGGGCACTCAGACCCGCGCCCAGGCCTGGCAGCCAGCTGGATTAGCACAACTGCTCACCTTCCGAAGCAGCTGGGGTGTGCTGGTAATGCCATGCAAGAAGCGTACACGCGTTTTTCTTAGACTGCCAGAGGAAGCTTTTTTTCTTCAGATATTTCTCAGATTTTCTTGCCAAACAATTTATCTTTCAGAGCTGAAACTCAAAATGTCAGAAGAGCAAAACTCCACATCCACAGCACCCCAAAGAAACGATCGCTGTGAAAGCACTGGGGTCTCTAAAGAGCCTGGGACACAGGAGGCAGGGAGCACGGAGCCGGCTCCCTCAGTAGAAGAAACCATGGACAGCATGCTGAGGCGACTGAAGGAGAAAAGACAGCACTTCAACCTTCCCGAGACTCTGAAGGTACGTCAGGCTAACGAGGGTGCCCTTCTCCTTCAGTTCTTTAGCCTCTGAGGCAGGAAGTGCTTGGAGAGCAGCCGTCCCCGTGCAGGTGGGTGGGCAAGCACTGCACCCTCTGGCACTGCCGCGGGCTTTCTCTCTGACAGACTCTGGTAAGTTTTCTGAAGTGAAGTTTTTGTGAAGGGTCACACAGGAGAAAGAGATGTTTTCAAGTAGTGCTGAGGGCATTTTTGCTCAGAGATGCATATTTGCAAAGAGCTGCTCCCTCCCAGGTTGAGATTAAGTGCACGCAAAGTACTTGCTCCAGCCTAGCAAAGATGGTGACAGAGCAAAACAGTCCTATTTTGAGTCCGTATAAACTATGTGGCTAAAAATTACAAAGCTATTTTGACAACAGAGGCCTTCTCTTGCTAGAGGAATCTGAAAGCCTCTGGCCAGTGCCTAGCACTGCGCCAAGGTAACGTGGAGGGCACAACCATTTGGACTGTTCTGTCCTTCTGATCCTGTGCATTGCACTGATACTGCTGCTGCTCTTCCATGTTCTCAATTACTGTTCTGCATAAAGGGGAGGGGTTCATGTCCCATGAAACGTGCTTGTTTAGGTGATTTATTTTGATTTTTCAGAGTAACACATATTGTTAACACATTTTAGGATCTGTCTGAAGCTATTGTTCTGTAATATGTATTGTCCATTTGAAAAGGCTAGTTTTATGCTCTTCTTACTGTCAAATGTTGCGGCTCTGCCTGCTGCTTTGTAGCCAGGAAAGATGATCCCCAAAGGTGCCTGAAATCTCACATGGAAACTGTGGCTGTTGAAAGGAACAGGGGAAGTGGGATAAGTGGGAAACAACAGAATGTTAAACTAGGCTACATCTAACATCAAAAAAAGATTTGGGGTAGATTTTAACAGCTGAAAGTAATAACAGAGGTAAGTTTTAATTTTGCTGGTTTGCTTTTGCTCTTGATTCTTACTAACCAGTTGCTGTTTAAATATTAGAACTCTGGAGAGCTGTGTGGTGCCTCTGTAGCCGAGATTTGGGGCCCTGCCTACCTGACTAATCTTTTAAAATGTTTCTTTCTGTAAACGAAGTTTGCAGCACCTGGCATCAGAAGAGTTAATGTTTCACAATAAGAAATCCTTTGTAAAAAGACAAACAGAATAAAATAATGAAACGTATGTATATATGCCTGAAAACTAATGTTTTCAGCTCTGAAAACAGCTGTTATTAGGCAAGCTATGAGATGACATCACCGAGGAAATCCTGCCCCAGAAAACTGTATAAGCATAAATTGGCTGTGGTTCTTTTTTTCTGCTCCATTTTCAGTTAATTGGAGTTCTCTTGATCTTTGAAAGAAATGGCAGTGTTGTCCTGAATGATTCTCACAGAGAACTCCATAGGGTAAAGATAAATGTTTGCACAAATTAATATTTTAAAGTATAGATTCATATGATGATTTTTTTTTTCTTTTTCATATTCTTGTGGGAAAAAAATGAATTGAAAGAATGATCTGTGTGGTACCTGTTCTGTTTGGTAAAACTAAAACTGCAGTGCAACAGAGCTTGGAAAGGAAGAGTAGGAATTTAAATTGGTCTCTTTCAAGATGAGACATTTTAGAAGGTCCTAAAGTTGTTTAACATTAAAATGACTGATTTTTAATCATGAGTCTGGACTTCTGGAAAAGAGTGAAGTTTACAACCCCAATAGGGAATGAATGAAGGATGTCTGTTGGTTAGAGCAAAGATCCAAGGCTTTTCATTTCAGCTATACATATCCTTGGTGCACATGGTAATTTTGAACTGGACCATTTCATTTTGCATATAACTTTTAAAACCTGTACCTGAATCTGAGCTAGATTGATAATCAACTAACTGGTAACTGAATCCTTCTCCAAGCTGTGGAAAGCCTTAAGACCCCCATGGATGCACAAATGAGGGATTAATTGTTGTTAAGAAAGATGCAGAGCGCAGGCTCTGTGTGACTTGTGAAACTGGGCTTGAGAAACAGTAGAATGGTTGTTAGGAATGCACAGTACGGGTCATACATCACAGAACTTTCATTTTTACATTTTTAGCAAGGGCCATTTTATTCATGAGATACTCCACAGTCTCTCTCTCTCTCTCTCTCTCTCTCTCTCTCTCACACACACACACACACACACACACACACACACACACACACACACAAGGGAAGGGGTCTAAAACAGAAGGGGTCTAAAATCCTGACTATATGTCTGAAGAGAACAGAGACATGTGTATGGTGTGTGAAATAGCCCAGTGCAGTTTTCAGAACAAAATGCCTCCTCCCTCCCCAAAGCTTATGAGTGCAGTTATTCAATGAGAAAAATCCAGAGAAAATTGGATTTGGCTGGTGAATGATTCAGCACTCCGCAGTGGATGCCCACCTATTGCTGTCAGTGTCACTAGCACCGTGACCATGGCCGTGGCCGCTGGTGACTCATTTGAAGGTCACCTCAGGTTGTGCGTGGTTAGCTGCCAGGGTGCACACAACAGCTTGGGGATGTGAATGGAGAAGATTGGCAACTAAAAGGCAAATAAACACAGCATGGCTCTATCTCTTTTTAAAAAGCCCTCCTGATATTTAAACTACTCTGAATGTTTCTTGGCTGGGGATGTTCTTGGTGCCTTGGTCACAGTGAGGAGGAGAAGAGGGCCCAACATGTACCCACGGGAGGCCCTTTCCAAGCCCCTGCTCCCCTCACGTTGCGTTTCCTGCGTGCAGAACCAGCAGCTGACATAAAGGTCTAGGGATGAGCTGAACTGCCTTGTGATGAAGGCAACAGCATGTGCTGCTGCGGGTGTCCTTGTCCCAAGTTATGAATACCAAACTACTACTTTAGCTTTATGTGCCTTCTCTTTTTTGTTACACAGAGCAAACACTGGTCTTATATTTAGTTTGAAGTTCTGCAGCTTGTCTCCTGAGGCTTTTCTCAGACTGCTTGCTTTCAGTTATCTGTCCTCTGGTTATTGACCCATTTTAGTCCATGCTTTCCTTGGCTCTGAAGCAGTGTTTTTATTTAATTAGCATTGAATTTTGTGTTGTTATGTGCAGCCTACAGTCCTAAGATGTCCTAGTCACTTCTGTGGTTTGTGTTTCCAGCTGCCACCTATGATTTGGAAGTTGTCAGCAACGTCGAGCCCGGCCGAGTATCAGCCTGCCTTGAGATTGCTAATGAAAAGAGCCACTAAAACGGACCCAAGTGTTTAGCCCTCCTGAGATTGTTTCTCATGTTTAAAATCAATATTAATGATCACTTCCTGTTTACAGCTAGCCACTCAGTTGCTTCAGACCTAATAGTTTTTGAAAGAATTATCCTTGTTTTAATTGCAGAGCTAGCAGCAGACAGAGCTGCTGTTTCGTCGTACACCCGAATTCTAGGTAGTAGCCCCTCTCTTACCGTGAACGACAGGTAATTTTTGCAGCCATTGACTCACACAACCATTTAGAACCAAATGTTATTAGCGGTTTTGTGGTGCTTTTGTGCGTAGGCAGCCGATTTTAAGGGCTCTGCTCCTGGTGAAGTTAATAGCAGGGCTCTCCTGCGATTTTAGGGGAGAGGGGGGTGATGTGGTGGGTACGCTCAGCGTGTGTGTTTGTGTCCGCGCTGCTTCCATAGTTGGAACTTGTTGTTCCATTGCTGGCCAAGAGAAATATATTTCCCTTTTGGAGGAACCATTAAAAAGCTGCAGGGTGCTCTCTCTGAATTTCTGCAAGTTCTTGGGTGTTGTGTCTAGAAAGATTGTTCTTTTTGTTTGCAACAACAAAATCATGTTTAATATACAATGGGGAATGTAATGATCTACCAACTGATCTGTCAAATACGTTAATAACAGACAACTGCTATTAACAGGTTTCTCATTAAGAGCGTATGAGACAAGTATTTCTCTAATTTCAATGCCCAGCCCCATTTACCTCCATGTGGGCAGAAACAGAATTTCAGTATTAATATTCATTTGTGGAGAACAGATTATTAAATAGACACCTCTCTATACCTTTGTCATGAAATCCTGACTCATAATCTTACCAATAGCTTTTTAAAATAGGATATGACAAAAAAGCAAATGACTTTGGAAAAAAATCAATCTTCAGAAATGTCTGCTATAATTTAAGAATATTCATGGACGACCTGTAAGTATACCATAGAAAGACAGATAAATTTAAGTTATATAATATCCCTATAAAACAGATTTGACATCACATATTAAATATATTTAGATGAATATGGTGTGATTAATATGTAATTTCAGAATAATCTTCAGATATTAATGTTATTGCTTGATACTCATGTATTTGGATTTTATTTTTAAAAATAAAATAAAAAGGCAAGTTTCTGTTGGCCCCGTATCACTCTCTACGAGTGAAAGTTGCAGATTTAGAGGATAAAGGTCTAAGGACTATATATCCACAGTAGACTGGTTTCATATCTATTGAAGCTTTTGCTTTCTTGTAACTTCATTCTACAACATCCAATATTCAGTTAAAATATTCAGCAGCTGTGGATGGTTTACAGGGCACAACCTGAGATTTGAAATAGCAAATGAAATGACTTACCAGTCATCTGTGTTTTCTTTTATATCAGCACTTAAATCTGTTAGTTAAACTCCTTTCAAGGAGCCAACATTAAAGGGAGTTCATTAGTAGTAGGCGTGCATGTGCAAATAGAAAAATTGCCACAAAGGAGGCTACCATGTTTGCAAATCTGCTTGTAACAACTGAGGATCCTGTCTGACTTCTGTGAATGTCTGTATCCTTCTGGTTCTGTTTCTGCCTTGTAATTGCTGAGAGGAGCAGCGTGAGCGTGTGGGTACAAGAGTGTGTTGGTTCTTCAAGATTATCACCATCTGAATCTGATCTCTCTGCATCTTGGATAAAATGATTTTTGTCTATCCTGTGTGGGCCTGGAGTGATAGATGAGGGAAAGGGAGAATATACTGGAAGGGTATTTCTTTGGAAATACCAGAACAAAAGAGAAATTGAGCACCATATAGAAGGTAAAAGAGACACGATGATTCAAAGAAGGGCAAGGAGAACAGGGCATGCCTTTGTGGCAGGGGCTCACAGACGCAGAAGCAGCTGTGAATGGAGCCTTGTCTCCTCACGGCACCTGCCCCCGTCCCACTAGTGCCCTGCGCGGGACACCGCTGCAGAGCCCACTGGAAGGCCACTGTGAGCATCTCCACAGTGAGGAGTGAGTAATTTACTGTTTGTCTTAGCAAGATGACCCAATGCCTGGATGAAATGGCTCAAGCAGCAGAGCCTCCACTTTGTATATTTTCCATTGGACAACAAGTCTGCATTTTCCAACTCAAAAATATGTGATTGCTTCTGAGGATCACACGACAGTTGCCTTGAAATTCTTATGAAAACAGAACACACAAGGCTACAATCTTCTCAGCTTTTCAGCAGCAAATGAGAAGAGATTTATTTTTCTGTTCAAGAGCAGTGTGTTTTATTATGTTTTCTTTTCAGGTAACTAAACAAGAAAAGAATCTTATGAAGCCTCTGTATGACAGATACAGAATCATCAAGAAGCTTCTTGCAACTCCATCATTGATCACAACAATTGTAAGTTGGCAGGACAATGTCTAATCTATTGTCAAGAAGACAGCCTATATGCTGTTTGGTTTGTACTTGTTGGGGGCAATAAAGAATCTGTTCATGGGTTTAGAGGAGGGCAAAGAGGTTTCAAACTGAGCAAATGCTCTGTATAAGCTCCCAAGAATGCCAGAGGTGACAATGTAATGCACAAGTTTTTGTGTCAGTCTGTTCAAGTGCCTGGGCAAGGGAGCAAAGGCTGGCATGGGTTTTTTATTATGTCTAACATATCCAAAATGAAATCTCTCCTCATAAAAGACTCTACTGTCACTGTATCTAGCTTCTAGTATGTCTGTTGAAAATGCTTTTATTAATCGTGTAAGACAGAGATCACTTGCAGTATGTTTGATTAATGTATCATGTAATAGTACCAGTCTCAATGAATGTGAGTAGAGGTAGTGGAATGTGTCAGGTTTTAAGTTAATTATTGTGTCTCTGTCAAAAATATTCATCACAGAGGCTTGTACAGAGTAAATGAGGCTAAGTAGATTTTTAAAAGGTTTGCTCTTTTGTCTTGTTGGATTTCAGTGGAGCTTTAGAAAGTTTTTGAAATTCCAGTCTAAATCTTTGCCCACACATACATTTCAAAATCTAACTGCATTTCCCCTGTTTTAATTCATCGTCGCTTTGGTCCGTGACGTTCCGGGAAAGTCATTGTTCAAAAGCCCAGCCTTTCTTTTGAAGATGTATGGATTTGGCTATACAATTGTAGAATCTCTGCCTCTAACTCATGGTATAGCTTTTACTTTTGGCATTAAGGTCCTATACACCATGCTGGATGGTGTATAAGAGTTCCAGCAAGACTGCAGTGCTTGCATACATGGAGGGTGTTCTGTAAACCTTTACTAGTTAAAAAAGCTTTTGAATAAAGAGCAGGTTGATGTGTTTCTGAGTTACTCGGAAACGGGGCCAGCTTCTCTTGTGTTCAGTAGCGCTGACTAGCACACAGGAACGCAGCACCATAGGGTTCCCATGGGCAGAATCAAAACCTAGGTAGAACTTCTAATAGTTATGATTTGTTTAACTGAATACATCCAATAGGCAAGATTCTAATTAACTACTAGTGTTGCAAGGTACACAACTAATTTGGTAATGCTTTATGTTTTACAAGCAGGAGGAAGAAGACTCAGATGAAGACCGTTCTCAGAGCAGCCATGAGTTGTCATCCAGCCCAGTCTCTTGCCTGCCTGTTGATGAGCACCTGTGTTACGCGCAGGAGGAGAGTGAACCTGCACACGTTTCACCTCTGGATGAAAAGAAAGTTTACAGAAAAACAGCCTTGTCTATGTCCAATTTACATGAGGCAACAATGTGAGTTTTGTCTTTTCTTTCTAATGTTTTGAAATATTTTATGTAGAATTTTATTAAGCATGATCCAATTACTGCATTAAGGTATTCTAAAGCAAACAAATAGTCTAATGATTTCTTACGAGAGAGGAGGCAGAGAATGCTTGTTCCTTGGTCAGCATTCCTGTGGTTTCAGATATTCCTTCAAATAAGCCTGTGCCAAATCCATAAAGAAAAGATGAAGGAATATATACAGGTAAGAGAGAAGCCATGTAAGGCAAATATATGTGCTATATTGGGCTAAAAAAGTCTGTGGAGACATTTCTGTGTTAATATGAACCAGGTAGCTATTCTCTCACTGCTTAAATACGAGCTAAAATATGCTGTGCAGAAAATTTGGTTCTGGCTACCAGTATCAGTTCCACTGAATCGTGGTAATACTTAGGAGCTGCACTTCTTCAATGTTGATTCTGCACTGAGTTTAGTAAGTCAGTTACAGAGGTGCAAAATGCCTGTTATGTGCTGCTGAATCTGGTCAGTTCCATTAATTCCAGGTGGAATTGAGACTACTAACATGACCCAGTCCTGAAAGATTTTTTTTTTTTTGCCCGTGTTTTTACCGATCCTTTGCCTTCACTGTATTAGAAGGGGAAAAAACAGTACTAATAAACGGGAAGGAGCAGCTCAGCTTATCACGTGTGCTGGAACAGCCCATTATAGTCATGTGGAGAGACGTGATGGTCTTCCCTGGGACACTGTGTGCTGTGCATGCCGTGGCCCAGAGCAGCAGGCAGCTTGTAACGCAGACCCACAGCTTGTAATGCAGACCCACAGCTTGTGCACCACTTAATGCCTGTGTCTCTCTTGCAGGCCTGTTCTACTTGAACATCTCAGAGAAACAAGAGCAGATAAGAAAAGGCTTCGCAAAGCTCTGAGAGAGTTTGAGGAGCAATTCTACAAACAGACGGGAAGGTAAACAGCCAAACTGCCGCGTGCTGCTGCTTTCTCTCCTGGCACGTGCCCCTTCACCTGCCGGTGTAGCCACATGGGTCTTTTACTAGAGTGGGTTTTCTCACGCGTGAGATGGCAGAGAGGCTGCAGTCAGGGACTGGAAGGAGCCCATCTCCCTGCTTAGTTCCTCCAGGCTGTGGCATCCCTGAGGAGCTGCCAGGTCCTGGGGAATCTGTCAGGACATGTCTGTAATGGGGACAAACCAGCCAGGCTGCCAGGCCTGACCTTTCGGGAGTCTGCCCAAACCTTCTCAAACCATCAGCCTGCAGGGACTTCTCTTGACAGTTGAGCCATGTTATTAAGGCTAAATACATAAGCAGAAGCCATTGGCTCTTTCACCCATAAGCACTGGCTATTTGACGACTCCTTGATCCTCCTCCCTTTACTTAGTAAGCTGATCTGCTGAAAATTGCGAAGGGTATGGGTGTGTGGTATATACTGGTAACAGTTTTTAAAATTCTGTGCAATGGCTTCTCTCCATAATTTAAAATGAATTAGTTACATTTAAATAGCTGCCAAGAAAGAAAATTATCTGGTTTACGAAAAATCCAGTACTTTTATCCTGGCCTTTATTTAGAGTTTTGGTCCTGTTAGATTATCTGTAGTCATTTACAGTTTAAAAAAACAAATCCAATGTAAAACTCATTAATTGTTGCACAAATAATTCTAAGATTGTTTCTCAGCTTTGTCTTAGAAGTGATGACCTTATCTGCTTTTCACAGGAGTCCACAAAAAGAAGATCGGGTGCCCATGGCAGAAGAATACTCTGAATACAAGCACACAAAAGCCAAAATCAGGCTCTTGGAGGTTCTCATCAGTAAGCATGATATCGCCAAAACGATTTGAAATGAGCGCAATGCCGTGGGCTTGGTCTCTAGGGAGGGGAAAAAAAGAGGGAAGTAATTTAACAGGTCTTGGTCTGCTGCACAATTATTTGACACAGTGAGATGCTGATGCACTTTACCAATTGCATTTGCTGGGATGACAGAGGACGGCAATATGCAAGAATATTAAGCACGGGTGAGTGGACTATAGTCTATTTATTTTCCTTCTGAAAACGCCTTGAAGTGCACTGTGAAAATGTTAGAAATTAAAAGGACACTGCAGTGTTGCACCCTCTGCCCTGCTTTTGCTTTTAGAAAGTGTGAGGAAATGCTCTCCTGGTTTTTACTATATCTTAGTATAGAGTAATGTGCCACACATTTCCTACAAGAATTAACAGTAAATTTACAACTATTGTCAGTTCTCAGCTGATTTGCTTAAACAAGCTAACAGTCAACCTGGATAAAGGTGCCACTCAATTCCAGTAGCTTCAAAGGAAGGTGCACACACAGAGCCAGCGCCAGGGGCTGGATTAAATTCTTGGTGCAGAGCAAAGGGATGCTGCCTGTGCAAAAAACAAGGAAGGAAGACGATGGCCAGGTTGAGATACTGTTTTTTAGAAATGAGAAAAAGTGTGTGGCAAGATGAAACAGGTGCCGTTTGCCAGGAGGAGGTAAAGCAAAGGTACTGGATGCTGTCCTTCTTGCTATGGTTTACAGAACCTGGCTTACAATACTTACAATTCAGTAAATAGATCAACTACATGCTCATTCTTATTTCTCTATTGAACGTTGCACTTTATTTTGCCTGATGCTATAACATTTGCTTTTCTAAGTACCAAAGCTCGTTTAGAAGCATGCACTTTGTTAAATGTTGAAGTATTTCCTGTGTTACAAATTGCCACATATCTATATTGAAATGAGACTAGATTATTGCATTATGCTATGATATTTTGGATAGATGAAGTACATGGTACATAATTGAGTGTCATAGTTATTTGGTGAGGAACGCTAGACTTCTTGTTTACAAAAATATTATAAAAAATATTTTTCCATTGAAATTATGCATCTTAAATTTCAGAGCACTACACTTTGTAATATTATGGAGTTTTTATTTTTTTTCACTGTGTCAGAGCATTTGTGTGAAAAGCAGTCTATAAACAGAAGGATTATGGGCATTTCTGTATCGGAAATCAGAAGCAGGGATTCTGGGAAATAACTAGCCCAGACATGAAGGAACCTAAAAATTTTTAAAATGAATGGAGTAAGTTGAATCATGTTTGGTCTTTTGCTTTAACTGTCATTTTTGTATTGATCACACAGTGTAAGCAATCTGTTTTCTATATTGGTAAGAATTTTCATTTTATAAAGCCTATTACAAAGAAATCAAGTTTGTATTTATATTGTATGTAGTGGTTCAGCATGTTTTTGAAAAAAAATACATGTTTTCAAGTAATTTGGAGAGGAAAGTATGACCACTAGAAAAAGAAAAATTTATTTCTCTGAGATTTGTTGTTTCAATGTACTGACTGAATAATTTATAACTTAGCTTTTATGAATCAGAATGGTCTCCTTCGTAAATCTGTTTTAATTAAAGTCATCTAGAGCAACAGGAACAGATACAGAGCTATTTGAAGTTTACAAACTACATCTTTGATAAGGGAAAATGATTTCATGACATGTATACAATTGATATTAAAATGTAATCTATATATTCTATATGATTGTATAATATTTTATACAACAGTACAAATAAAATATTTTTCTATTATATTTATTATGTCAAGACACAGTTTCTGTTTTCAGTTAGCTAATATAAATAACATAAATAACACTGTCAAACAACACGTTGGAGGTGCTGACATTTCTAGGCTTTGAGATTTAAATCATGCTGCAATTACAACCTTTCATGCTGCTTGGAGTTATCCCAGTATTTGTTCAGTAGTTAAAAATGAATGCATATTTAAACACCGTTTATAAGCCATTATTTTTATTTTGCTAAAGCAGTTTATATAGGACTTTTGTTATGTTTGGCAAGAAACAGAAAACATTTTTTGCAGCATCTAAGTATAAATAGTTGCCAGAAAGAAATCCAGGACTTCTAATCATTTAAAGCATTGGGGGAACAGAAGGGAAAGAGGGAGAGAAGAACTACTAGAAACGCTACTGAAGATTCTGAACTGCTGTTTGCTTTTGGTGACAGCGGCATGGGCATGCTTCTGGAGAGACCGTCTGACTATGGACATGGACAACAGAGCTTTGAAGACTCCTACGTAACGAGGGAGGCTTTAGCGTCCAACACTGATATTGCAGGTCTTGCAGCTAGGATCTTTCTTTGCATTTGCAGTAGACAAGCTCATTAGTTGGTGACCGGTGATTTCTGCAACTGTGCCAAGAGAGAGATCCACGGGATCAGTGTAAATTACTTCCAAAATAACATCTTGGGCGTGATGGTAAACCATGACACCGTCTTCCTCATTGCAGGTCAGAAATTTATTATCTTTTATATTTAGCTGGGGAAGGCGCTGCTTGCAGAATTCGTCCCCCGGTGAGCCAAGCGGGGCGATGACGAGGATGACGTAGTGGTAGGCTGTGTACATGCAGTAGAAGTCTCCAAAGTACAAGTTAGTATTTGGGTTGAAGAGTTTTTCAGCTGCAATCTCAAACCTGTATCTTCCATATGGTGAATCCTGGGGTGGCTTCCCAGTGTTAAACTCAGTGTTGCAGCTAAAGAAGATGCCTTCCAGCTTCCCACTGATGGGAGAGCCATGGCTGCCACTGTTATCCTTAACAGAGGGCTGCATGGCATTTCCGTGGTGCTCTCTACAAATGAATGACTGGTATTGTTTATTTGTAACACAGTTAAAACGACCAAGTTAGGACCTCATGCTGTTTGTAATGGTACTGAAGGGACGCACAAAGAAAAATGGAAATGAAAACTGTGATCTTAGGTGTAAGAAAATCACATGCACCCAGCCTCGGAAAGAGCTGGAACAACTCGTGCTAGAGGGAAAAGATTGCTTTTCCTGTCGGGCTGCTCTGCCAGCTGCGAGCTGGATGGGAATGATGAGAAGGCAAAGAATAGCACAAACAAAAAAGCCCCCAATCCACCAATCTCTTTAATTAGCTGATTTGTGTAGCTTTCCACTACATTTCTAACAATAAACACATTTTAGCTTAATCACATGTTGAAAATTACAAGCAAATCTCGATGTACTGAACATCCTGTTTGTTAATGCCTATTTTTAGCAGAGGCAGTATGCATTGCATATAGAAAATGGCCAGTGACAGTTATTTCTGAATCATGTTTTTCAGAGCGCTTATAGGAAGGAATATACTGCCTGCTATAATTTTTCCCCCCAAATCATAGTTTAAGGTCTAATTTGTCTACCATTGAGCACAGAATATTAGATAATTTGGTTGGTGTCCAGCTTCTGCAGTCTCCAGTTCTAAGGGGAAACCTATACAAGATGAGCATTGTTTCTTTGCAAGCTGAGCTCAGGTTAGTTCCGGTGAAAGCAAATGCTCAGCGTTACAAGGGAGTATTTAAACTCAAACTGAAATCAATGCCATTAGGCTGCTAAATTTAGGAGACCAGGCCAAAACACCCCATTTAATTCTCAATAGCACCTGAGATTTTATGCATAGCTGCAAGTTCCCCAGAATTTGTATCCTGTATCCGTGGCAGTTGTGGCTATGCTGAACCATGTGATTTCAGAAATTAAAACAGTCCTTTTTGTGAGTCCTGCAAAGGTCTAGATTTATTAGGCACACTCGCAACATGCAGGCTAAAAACAGGTGGCTTTGGAAGAATCTTATGAACCCAGTTCTCCTTCTTTTTTTTCTTTTTGAGAGGTGTGATGTGAGGCAAGAGAGCATTTCTCTCTCCTGTGTGCACTGACTTGCCAGAGCTACAGGTAAAACCATGCTGTGTGAGAAAAGTTATTGCTAAATATTTGGTCTGTTAAAGTGCAAGTAGCCGTCAATGCAAGCAAATTTACTGTATGCATAGTCAACACCAGATTTCTAATCTCCTCAGCTGAAAATCTGGGCTTGTTTTGTATCTGTGGCAAGATACTGACATCCAGCGGCCAATTAGGCTAATTATAGGTCAGTCCTCCCCGGGGAGCTGAGATGCTTTATGGCACTTCCCGTGGGGTAAGTGGCAAAATGAGGGGTATGGCATTTATAAGGCCACAACATAAGCACCATGTTTAAGGCTGCTGCTGCAGCACAGTGACAGTTGCTTGTTTGTTTATTCTACTAAAGCTGCTCTGTTTGCATCCTCAAGCTTGTTCACTAGTTATGGCATCACATAGGCCACATGCCAAGGGTTTTTTTTTTTTCTTTTTTCCCTACAAGGAAGCATGTGATTTTTTTTTTTTTTTAAACGTATCATTCTAGAGATTGTGCTGTGGAAAGATGAGCATTAGCGTGCTTCTGATGAGAAAAGCTTACTATTAAATAACTAGAGGTAGTCTAGCTTGGTACTGACCTGGTTAAAAAAAAAATGCAGATTTTTTGTCTCTTTAACACATGAGTGAAAACAAACTTAGATGATACTTGTAGCAAGCCATGAAAAAAATGTAAAGGAGATAGGGGAGAAGATAAAGTGCAATCAATCTGTCACTTTTGTCAGAACAAGGCCAAACCCCACACCAATAAATGCACCTCTGTAGCAGTTTTCAAAGCCCTGTGAACACAAATGCAGGTGCACTATGATTATGTGGCTAAGAACAGTAATACTGGACATGTGCCTCCTGTGCTACGTCCACCAAGGAGCCAGGAGAACTTTACTAGGTTCTCAGCAGCTTCAACTCATCCTCTGCCTTCACAGCACTTTGCAGCTCTCACTGTGTACATGTAACAACTAACTCTTGAAGGCAGCAGGCAAGCAAACCTCCTGCTCTGAGGCTACACGATCTCTTGGAAGCTGCTAAACAAATACACGTAACTGCCCATCTGCAACATCTCCACAAGCTGTGTTGTCCTCTCTGGAACACAGCAAGCATTACTTCTCATTGACCAGTTTTACAGCTCTTCTAGCTCGCTACAGGTCCTAGTATCACAACCACGTGAATATTAATTGCAGTTACATAGCAGCGCAGTAGGCCCAGCTCTCGCAGTACGTATTGCAGGAGCTTGGTTTAAGCCCTCAAAGAGCCTCGTCAATGGTAGCACCCTTGTGCTAAGCCATGTTTGAAGGATTCTTGCCCTGCTGCTTACCTCGGATGCCCGCTCTCGTAGCGGCGCAGGGTGCTGCTGCGCGGTGGCTGCTGTGGCCGCGTGTCCTGCAGAGCTCCCTGTGCTGCGGCTGTGCGCACAACGCACACCGGCTCTTCAGCAGGAGCAGGGACACTCCTCTGCAGCTACCCCCTTTAGTCACTCCAAGTGTCGTGCAGTGTTCCAGATGATCAAACCATGCACCAGGCCCCGCCTTGCCTTCCCCAACACACACTCCATTTGTAACACTTTAATCAGGCTGGAAACCCCTGCAAGTTCTTCAATTTCAACTCCAATACACAGATATTTTTGTTTGCTAATCAAATTGTTGAGTTATGCAAGTTGGAAAATATGAGTCACCTTTTCATTTTTCTCTTTTTCTGAACTAAATATGTAGCGTACAGCCATTCGGCTCCAGCTTTAGCACAGCTGCCTCCATTTACTTAGATTTTTTTCCATTACTCCCACAATTTTGCATATGTTTACTTTCTTACCTCATATAATCAAAGTATTCCTTGTGCTGATTCCGGTAAAAAACAGACAGTTTAAGCATACGGCCTGCAATCACTTCAGCTTTTTCCAAAAGCTGTGTTAGATGAACTTTTGAATAATCTGGGAAGAAAAGACAACCTGCTAGCATAAGGAGGGAAAAAAAAAAAAATACAGTGCTATCTAAAAGCTACAGCCACAACCTGAACAGCCACAATTTTAAATTGGGAACAGAGATTAGGTAACGTTGCTAACACCACGAAGTACAACACGGCCATACTGCTACCGTCTAGCCCAGCACCACGCACAAATGCCAGGCACATATTTCAGTCTCCCCACCAATACTCTGCCAACCCCTGGCTACTTTCAGCTCAGTTTTCCTATGCCAGAGGTGGGGGGTCCTTGTATTTGGGACTTCAGGGGAGCCAAGAACTGCCCTCTCCGGCTTATGCTCTTTAAGAAATTACCTGCTACACCCTAGTTGGTTGTGAGTTGATGACGAGTTACCTAATTAACCAAGCTTATGTAGGATCAGGCTCAGCCCACTCAGGCAGCTACCAGCAGGCCCCCCCAGCTCAGGCAGGCCGGCACACGGGGAGGGGCACCTACAGGCAGATGTACAAATAGACGTCCTGGCCCTCGTGCTGGCAGGGATATGGAAGGGGTTCAGGTTTTGCAGTGTGCTGGGGGGGGGGGTGGGGAGCACAGCCAATGTCTGAGCCAAGTTATGTATTAGGGAGCTGCTGCTGTGCCTTCTCCACTGGTGCTTATGGCCTGCAAGAGGTATGTGCGTGGCCCTGGTCCAGTGTGGTACCCTGCCCTGAGACAAGCAGTGGCATCAGGCATCACACTGAGGGTCAATTTAGCTTTTCTTAGGTAACAAGAGTGGCACTGAGCTGCCTCCCATCTATTTTAACACACCAACCTGGGAGCTCACAAAACCTGTGTTCCAATTTCCAGGTGTGACCATTACATGAGCAGCCTACTTGGTGCCAGTAAGATGCCTAACGCCCTCCTGCAAAGCTAGCTTTAACTGCATGGCCTAGGGTGCGTGTTTTCTCAGCAATATTACCTGCTGTGCAAAATTCGATGATTTCACTCCACTCAGAAACAACATAATCGCCATCAACTTGCTTTGATGCTGTCTGCACTGCGACTGTGTATTCTGTTCTTGGGCTCAAGAACCAGTGGCCCCGGACCGTCATAGGCAAAGGAACCGCTTTGGCCACCAATTTAGTGGGGACGTCCTAGAGTTCAACAAAACAAGCAAAAGACAAGTTATCAGTGCAGACAAACCACTCCACCAGAACCACCCCTATGTGTGTTTTATATATATGTATGTATGTGTGTGTATACATATATATAAAATACACACATATAAGTGTATATATATAAAAAACATACATACAGACACACACAGAGTATATAAAACAGTTACAAAAAAAAAAAACCTGTAAAATGCCTTTTAAAGCATTTAAAAACCTCCCAAAATGCCTTTTAAAGCATTAAAACCTCCCAAGAACTCTATTGCACAAGCATCCTGCAGGACTGACTCTTTGCAATGCAAATAGGGCCAGCAGCTGCTGCAGTGCTAGTCATTAGTCTTCCTGTCAGCATTTGGCTAAAATAAAAATGGTCTCGACCTGGGTCAGGTCTCCGTGCCCATATGACAGTGCTGTTTTTTTTTTTTTTTTTAATTTTATTTTTATTTTAACAACAGTCCTTACACAACAGCATCAGTAGCAGAGAAGGGCTGTGTGGGCAAGTGACTCAGTTCTCACTGGACTCTGGGAGGAATCAGTCCTTGCTCTTCCAGCTGTCCTCTTTCCCTACACCAGGTCTTCTGCTGAGCGTCATCTGCAGGAGCACAAATAACGCTACAAGGCCGGTTTGTCTCGCCACCCCTCTTAGGGAGAAGGCAACCCTGCGTGCAGGGGCCTCGCTCTGCTCCTGGCCCAGCAGGAGAGCTGAGCTCCGCACTGCCATCACCTCAGTGAGGAATCAGCACAAGCCACAGTGCCTACTGAGCAGAGCACCAGCACCAGGAAGACTGTGGGGCCAGAGGCCGAAACGCCACGTGTACACACAGCGGTCGGGGGCCCAGCCGCTCGGAGTGCCTCGATCTCGCTATGTTACCATTGGCGGGCAGGGGAGGGTAGCAGAGACACCACCACCTACGTTAGGTGTGAACAGGTAGACGAACTGCTTAGCCTGGTGGTGTCACTGAAGGAGGAGGTAACACGGCTAAGGACCGTCAGAGAGTGTGCAAAAGAGCTAGATTGGTGCAGTCACAGCCAGCAATCACATCAAAAGGAGGGCATTAAATCATGTAAAGATACCCTACCCTCTTGCTGTAGGGCAGAATTAAGAAACATGGAGGAATAGGAACAGATTCCTCAGCTGCCTCAGCTCCCCCCCGTGTCCATAGCTAGTAGACATGAGGCCCTGGAACTCAAAGGACAGCTAAATGAGGGCAAGGGACACAGTCCAGCTGGCTGGGTGTCGAAGGTGCAGCAGTCATGCCCATGCCTTAGTACTACCACCGCTAGAAAGCAAAGCAGGGTGGTAGTTGTGGGCAGCTTCCTTCTTAGAGGAACAGAGGGCCCAGTTGGCAGCCCAGACCCTGCCCTCAGGGAGGTCTATTGTCTCCCCAGAGCCAGGATAAGGGACATCACAAAAAGGATCCCACATCTTTATGGCCCTCTGACTACCACACACTATTGTTTTTCCACCTTGGTGGAGATGAAGTTGAAAAGAGACACCTGAAGGAGCACAGGTGATGCTGCTCAGCCGCAAGGAAGGACCCTGAGTGGAACAGGAAAAGCCACCTGCTTAACAGATGGATGTTTCTACAAATACGCTAGCAAGAAGAGGAGGGCCAAGGAGACTCTCCATCCTTTACTAGATGCAGTGGGGAACACTGTCACCAAGGATGAGGCTAAGGCTGAGGAACTTAATGCCTTCTTTGCCTCAGTCTTTAACACCCAGGTCAGTTACTTGGCCCCTGAGCTGGAAGATACCTACAGAGTGCAGAATAAACCCCCACAGTCCAGGAGGAAACAGTCAGTGACCTGCTACTCCACTTGGACACCCACAAGTCTATGGGGGACTAGTTGGGATCCACCCAAGGGTTCTGAAGGAGCTGGCGGAAGTGGCCCACCAAGCTGCTCTCCATCATCTATCAGTGGTCCTGGTCAACACGGGAGGTCCCAGATGACTGGAGACTTGTCAGTGCAACTACAAGCGACCTACATGCCTGTCAGCCTGACCTCGGTATCAGAGAAAGTTATGGAACAGCTCATCTTCGGGGTGATCACACAGCATAAACGGGGCATCAGGCCCAGCCAACAAAGGTTCATGAAAGGCAGTCCTGCCTCACCAACCTCATCTCCTTCTATGGCCAAGTGACCTGCCTAGCGGATGAGAGGAACGTTGTGGACATGGTCTACTTGGACTTTAGGAGGCCTTTGACACAGTCTTCCGCTGCCTTTTTGTGGAGAAACTGGCAGCTCACGGCTTAGGTGGACTCATCACTGGGTGAAAAACTGTCTGGATGGGCAGGCCCAGAGAGTGATGGTGAATGGAGTTCAATTGGGTGGGCGGCCAGTCATGAGCCGTGTTCCCCAGGGGCTAGTGCTCGAGACGGTCCTCTCTAGTATCTTTACTGATGCTCTTGATGAGGGGGATCAAGCGAACCCTCAGCAAATTTGCAGGTGACACCAAGCTGGGAGGAAGAATAGAGCTGCTTGAGGCTAGGAAGGCTCTGCAGAGCAATCTGGACAGGCTGCATCAAAGGGCTGAGACCAACTGCATGAGGTTCAATAAGGCCGAGTGCTGGGTCCTGCACTTCTGTCACAACAGCCCCACAGAGCCCTACAGGCTTGGGGCAGGGTGGCTGCTGTGCGGCAGAAAAGGATCTGGGGGTTGAGAGGCAGCTGAACGTGAGTCAGCCATGTGTCCAGGTGGCCAAGAAGGCCAACGGCCTCCTGCCTTGTATCAGGAACAGTGTAGCCAGCAGGACTAAGGAAGAAGTCTCTGCACTGGTGAGGCTGCACATGGAATACTGTGCTCAGTTTTGGGCTCCCTCCCTCAGTACAAGAAGGACATGGAGGTGCTGGAGCGTGTCCAAAGGAGGGCAACGAAGCTGGTGAAGGGGCTGGAGCACAGGCATCACCAGGAACGGCCGAGGGAGCTGGGGTTATTTAGTCTGGAGAAGAGGCGGCTCAGGGGAGACCTTACCGTTCTCTACAACTACCTGAGAGTGTAGTGAGGTGGCAGTTGATCTCTGCTGCAAAACAGACAGAGGAAATAGACAGACAAGAGGAAATGGCCTCAAGTTGCACCAGGGGAGGCTCAGACATTAGGAAGAATTTCTAAACAGAAAGCATTGGAACAGGCTGCCCAGGGAAATGGTGGAGTCACCATCCCTGGCAGTGTTCAAGAAACATGTAGATGAGGTGCTTAGGGGCATGGTTTAGCAGGCAGGGTGTTGAGGGCCTTACGGTTGGACTCAATAATCTCAAAGGTCTTTTCCAAACATAATGAGTCTATGATTCTACGTTTGCCAAACAAACAAAATTCTCTCTTTCAAGTAGTGGTAAGTGATTTTCATTAGATTTAATGAATATTTCCAATAATATTAAACCCAAAGAGTCTCATAAGGCAAAGGCAAAGGAAATTTATAAGCATGCTGTTAACAGTACAAGTGGGAAAAATACTCTTGCAATAAAAAGGCTCCAAGAAATTGATGATTTTTTTTTGTGGTTATTCCATTGGTTTATAAACCATTAGGAACTTGGATGCTGGAGGCAGAATTAGAGCTTTTATATATTACAGATGGTTATTTGTGCCTTAGCAACCTTTGTCTATAAGGGACCTTGACATTTTTTGTTTTTAATTTACAGATAACTGTACTGTTCAATCTTGTCTGCTCCCTTATTCTGTGTCTCCAAGACTGAAGTAAATTTTGATGGATTTGATACCTACAGACTTCGCAATGTATTCAATGTGTCCCTGCACCAGTAGCTAGAGGAAAGAGGCCAGATGACAATTCAGGTCACAGTGTTGAACGCTCAGAACTAAAATTGCTGGAAGCCTTCCTAGAAGTGCATTAGGATTTTGTGACTCCCCTGTTGAAATGACATGTGTTGCTCTCACAAGTCTGTCACTGAACAAGGACAAGTTTAAATTGTTTAAGCAAAGATCAAGAACTAGTCCGAAATCAAAACAGCTCTTGCAGTAAAATTGCACAGGTTTCAATTTTAAATGAAATAAAATGGCAGTGTTTAATTCTCTGTGAAACAAGTGTGTATGTACATGTGCACTGGGTAGACAAGGAGAGATTATTCTGAATTAAAAAAATAAGAAAAAAATCCTCAGTCAAATTAATCAGAACCCACCGTTGCTGGATGATCAGGACCTGTTTCCCATGGTCTGACTTTGACTTTGAAAGGTTAAAACAACACTAAGACATCTAATTAAAATTAAATATATCCACCTTGTTTTTAAAGTGAAAATTACCTTGTGTTTAAATTTGTTGGAATTCTTGTTTTCTTTCTTGTTGAGATCGATGAAATAGTGAGTGATGCGGTCCTTGGATTTGGAATCCATATCCCAAGAAATCTTGAAGGAATCACACGTAATGTTGCTTATTTTGATGTTATGTGGGACTGGCAGTTCCTCCATCTCTGCGATCCCACTATCTTGCGATTTATTCCCTGCATTAAAAAAAAAAAAATCGTATTTTTTTTTAGTAAAGGGGCTACTCAATATGACAAGCTCTGTCTTTGCTCCAATACAATGGCATAATACTACAAATAATACTAGTACTCAGAAGCAACTGCAAGGCACAATTATGCAGGTCCCATTTTGGGTGTTGAGAACTCTGTGAATGGGAGGTGATTCTCTGTGTGAATAAGCACTAAGAAAGTGTAAGCAGCCTGTGCAGACTAGCTAGCATCACAACGACCCACAGTTACAGTTTCACCGTAAGAAATATCTGAAGCTATATCAGATGCTGCACTGAATAGAAGATACCACCAATGTGCACCATTACTGTAATGGCCATAACCACAGCTGTAAGGGAAGTAAATATAAAATAGAAATCACATTCATCCAATAAGTATTTTTTCAAACATGAAGTAAAAACAACCTTTTCAAGGTTTATAGATGGTATTTATGTATGCACACACGCACATAAAATAGTGTCTCCTTTCCAACCAAACAACTGATGCAGTGATCACTTTGTTAAGCCATTGTAAAAGCAACAGCACCACCAATTTCATTTTCCTGTTGCTAGTCCATCTGTTCCCTTTGCCCAGTTGAGACTCCCTGCAGTTTCCTGGGAAGCTTTTTTTCTGCTTTAATCCAAGTGCATATGGTAGACTGAGCAAATGTCCACTGACCCCGAGAAGTATCATGGGTTCTAAAATTAGGTCTTCTCTTAGATCCTAGGATGATTCTGCCTTAGTACATCCAGTGAACATTAAAACTCAGAAAGCACAGGTGCTCTTGGTCACATTTACACTGCATAAGTCTAAAGGAAACAACAAAAAAAGGGCAGAAAGACAGAACAAATGAGAAGAATAGGAAAAGAAAAAGCTAGAGAAGAAGAGGCAGGGGAGGGAATGAAGAAAAGGAATGTAAAATAATGTAAACAACCATAGATAAGAAGAGAGAAAGCAGAAAGCATGATGTCTGTGTCAGAAAAAAAGGGAAAGCTCCCACACCCTGTCCAGATGAGGAAGGCACGCAGCCCATGCAGAGGCAGTGGGAGAACAGTCAGAATTTATTCTCAATTGCAAAAGACAGGGCTATGTAGTTACCCACTATTAATTCTAGATAACTCCACAAGGTTCATCAGAATGAGCTAAATAACTTTCAACTGCTCAATACACTCTCTGCCAACACCAAGTAAAATAGACCAGTTTCATAAAAAGCATGCCAATATATACACAGTATTTTGTAGTGCCCTAGTTCAGACGCAGTCCTCAAGAAAACAGAGCAGAGGCATTTCCTTCCCAATCAAAATATACTGTTCAAAAGGAATCCCATAACTCCAATCCGAATAAAACATCTGAATAAAAGAATTTTATTGATGATTTCAGATGCCAGTGTTGATTTTTTAAATTTTTATTCCATTTCATGTATTTACAAACTACCTACTGTTTATTCATTAAACATCCTATTGTTTCTTCTTAATCAATAGTTAGTCAGACAGTGCATGGTCTTACTCAACATCCTGTGCTATTTGTGCTAGCTACAATGACGTTTTCAACAGCTGCCCTGGCTGCAGTGGACTCAGAAATGCCAATTATCACTGAAATTCAGATGAAATATGAAATAGGTGGTATGTGCTTTTCTCAACATGGGATTTCAGAAAGCTAGCCAGGAGATAATGGCACTCCTTTCTTTTGCAAGCATTTTGCATTTGAATTAAAAAAAAAGCCTGCCCCAAAAGGTACACTGAAAAGGTACTCTGAGAAGGCCCAGGAGGCTGCTCTTCCTGGAGCCAGGCCCTCTGGCTTAGGTAGAAGATAGGGTGATGCTGTCCACGTTCTCAAATCTCCTGGAGAACTGGATAGACTCAGATCACAGCACACAGAATAGAAGATTAAGGACCTTACCATGCCCACAGTCAACAAATCCAAGATATATATATCATGATATACGTTAACTACAACTTCCTTGCCTGATAGCTTGCTTGAGCTTCTATACTCCACACACGGGGGCCTAGCCATGCTTCAAATGGTCAAGGAAGTTTAAGCTCCAGGAGAGGTGTCGAAAGCAGTAACTGTACAAAGCACTGACGAAAAGCAACAGAGATGATCCAGTACTTGGAAACACACTGATGACAGTCAAAGAGCAACATTTTCCTGCTTCTGTAGAAGAAGGACGACGAAGAAGAGGGCTTCTGTAAAGAGGCCTTGTATTCTACAGCATTCTGTGAAATAATGTCTGGCATTTCCCTCTAGGTGCCCTCCTGCTCCGTCTAACTTCTTTGCATATTAGGTAAATATACAGCTTCAGTAAATGTTTATCAGAAAATCCTAAAGTCATTTTAAATAACATTTTAAATATAACTGGTAGAAAATGAAACTACTTCCACCATTAAATGCCAAAGCCATCTTCCAATTTTTGTGAGACCAGAATCACAAATCAATGCTTTTCTGAAAGCTTTAAAGCTCGTTGAAAGTGGAGAAAATATACTCAGAAATATGAACAAAATATGAAGATAATAAGAAATGTGAAAGAAAAATATCTCACAATCACCCCCACAAAGTGCCTCCAGTTCTTCTTTTATGTAGAATAACAATTATCTGTGATAGTTGCAACACATACTTATAATACATATTTGTGACACTCCTGAATATTAGAATCAATTGAAATAATGGGCAGCAATACAAACCTGATGATGAGGCATAACAACAACAGCAATAATAATAATCAGGATGGTGATTCAATGAGTATTGGTAAACAGCAACTATTTAAGAGCAATCTGCGCATCATTGCATGGAACAGGATAAAAAAAGGACAGAACATTAAAAGTAATAGATTAGACTGATCACAGGAATAAAAATGCAGGTATTTGACCAGTTTTCCTCATACAGCAGACACCCAGCTTTCAAACTACCATGAAATTATGAAGCATCATTCTTCATATCACATTCTGGATCCTGCAAAAATTAGTGGTTTTCAGAGTTAGGAACCACATTCTCTCCTGACACATGCTGAAACAAGACACAGAAGTGTGAGATAAAGTGTCTGATGTCATTGCACCATCAGTAGTTGGAAAGAAATGAAGACGCCAGGATAGCAGCCAAGGAAGAGTTAGAATGCCCTATGCAGTTGGCAATTTACCTACATTGCTTATAAAACTATAAAATGTAGAGTATTTCCAATAGCATGTATTAATTTTATAAAAGTATAGTGACTGCTGTAGCATGTATTTACATTAGATAAAACAGTTAAAATTAGAAGAATTTTCAATATTTCAGGTAAATTATAAGTCAGTTGCTTAAGAAAACACTACCACTTCCTGTTAAACTGGAGATTCAGTGAGGTTCTGATGAGGCCATTCCCAGGTAAATGTAACACTGCAGTAAGATTTCCTAAGTATTCAGAGCTTATGAGATTTGTACTCAGTAAACAAATCACACCCTCTTTCCCACAGCCTCTTCGTAATCCTAATATGTCTTGATTCACAGCAGTAACTGTGGCTGGCTGTGCTAGAAAAGCATGAATTATTATCCAGCAGTCAATAAACAAACTTACAGAAAGCAAAACCTGCAAAAGACTGAGTACAAGACATAATAAGGATCCATCAACAGGGAAAAAATACGAATACTACAGCCATAATGAGTGCGATTGCTTGTACTCTGTGTCAAGCAAACTTGTCAAATACATATTCAGCTGTAAAGACGTCCATTAATTCTGGAAAAATTAGAAGAAAGTAGGGTCAGGTGAATTTTTTTTCTCTGGTGGAGCTGAAACTTATCCCTTTAGTAACTGTGGATCACAGAATAGATCTGCACAATATCGCTCTGCTTTTGCAATTTGGACTCTGATACTAAGGAAACGGCTGTCACAGCACTCCAAGAAGGCTTTTCAGATTGTTGTTTCCCTTTCATGGGGTTGAGAGGCAAATAATTGCTACTCTGATATAAGGACAAAAAAATATTCATGCATTTTAGGTGTGGAAAAAATGTAAATATCTAAACAGATTTGGCATTGAACGGGGTCTGTCTGAACCATCACTCAACCAAATTCAGAGCTATCCTAAATAGTGGTGTAAAGCTGCACATTCCTAAATCATAGAAATGAACTTTATATTGCAGAGCTCCAACGTGCCAGGAAAACAACCAAAAGAAAGGAGAAGGAAGCAATAAAATGGCCTGTCCTTGAATTATTTTAAATTCTATGTTTCCTGCTGAGTATTGTCCTGTTGTCTCTCAAGATGCAAATTACCCCAGTTTAATGGTGTGTATCTTACATTTCCATTTAAATACATTATCAACCCTGCTCAACATGTGTAAATAGATTTGTCTGATTTGGTATCACACTGGAAAATCTCCAGTTGTATGGACAAAAACAAGTAATCTGATCCAAGTTTCTTTGTACTCAGGGATAAATCTTCAGTGTTTTAAGAGCCATGTTGTGGGAAACCTGGACTTCTGAAGCTTTTACAGCAGACAGGCAATAAAAATGGCTACTATGCATCTCCTAAGATGCCAACATCATTCCACTGGATCTTTGAAAACATGTTCCCAAGGGACTAGCAACAAACAAGAAAGAATTTGAGGCTGTCAGGTTGTAATTTATAAATCGCTTATGCCCGTTCTTGCATCTGAAGTAGATGGTATAAAGAAGTTTGTCTGAGAATGAAATCTTTTGCATTTAATCTGATCTGGATTTAAAGAACCCACAAAACAACAGAAGGCCTGTTAGTAATGGCTATTTCCAGTCCCAACCCTTTGTTTTGCAGATATCCACTAAGTTACACTGAAATGTGCTGAGAGCTCCCCAGCCCATCTACTACATTCTCAGCTGGGGAGATGATATTTAATCATTGGGGGACAGCAGTTTCTTAAAACATTTCACATTGATTTGGCAAAACACATCCCTTGAATCCTAAATTCAGTTTTCCAAAGGAGATGTGCATATTTAAGCTTTCAAGGAAATACCCTGTTAAAAGTAGTAGCATCTAGCAACTCCCAAA